TCAGTTTGCTGAAGGGCGCTGCCTTAGCACCAAGGCATCCACTTTTTGTAACCCAAGAGCTTCGAAGCTTCAAGCATAAGTGTTATAAGCAAACCTGCGTGAAAACAGCCTAGAGCATGGAATAGAGGTAATGGTACTGAATTGCCTTGAAACGCTAAATGGCATGTCAAAGATATAGGTACAGTATCCGGCAACTGTCACTTAGTACAGGGCACCTTATCCTTGTATCATGCTGGCTAGGCTCAAAACCTCCAACTTACCTAGGCGCATATCTATCCGGCGTCTCTATAGCCAAAAGTCGACACTGATCCATTTACGTCCTCACTTTTTGCTCCGATTCTTATGCCAACGTCACTAGTCACACGGCTTTATCACGGGGGCCGGGTTATTGCCAGCATTGATTTCATCCCCTCACGGCTAAACTTGGCATGTCTAGATCGTGCGTTACCCCAGCTGACTGCAGACGAACCAGAGCACGGAAGCCGGTGTTGAGATGAAGAAAGAGGAGCCATAGAAGAGAGAGGAAAGAAGATGGAAAACAGGCCGCACCAGGGTGCCTCGTACAACGGCTTTCAAGGACCTCGCCTCTGCTTCTTCGTGTCCATGTCATCCGCCGCTGCAGTGGGGCCGCAGCCGAGTGATCACTGATGATGACCCCAAGGCCAGATCGACGGCTAGAGCCCACCGAGTCCACTCTTGGCAGACTCGTCTCTTTGTCTCGAAGGACGCCCTGCCTGAACTGCCATATTTGGTCAGCGCGGACAACCGCCTCCGCATTGTCTTGAGGCTTTTGTCTGCACCTCGACGCCACCTTTCTGGCAAATTTCTAGGACGGTGGCTGCGGCGGGCAAATCACGAGAGCGGGATGATCTAGGAGGGCACGGCACTGGGGGCCACCAGACCGAGGGTAGGCCGCTTCTACGGCATTTCTGCCTTCGGCTGCCTTCGTTCGGCGCGATTCCTGAACATCTGCTTGGAGGTGGTGGCAATAACGAGACTCGCTGGTACCGCCTCATGTTTCCTGGCGGCCTTTGTCTTGGCGGCAACAGCCTTGTCGTCTCGCTAGCTTGCGTCTCGCGTCTTTGTTTGTGATGAATCTCTCTTTGCCGCGCTGTTTACGTACACACATTTGCACACACGCGCGCACAAGCAGCTCGGCCATCACCTCGCCATTTCTTGCACTTTTCCAAGGTATGATAGAGTTTTACCTCTATCACATCACCCAATGTGTTTCTGGATGCATGTACGATTTTTTCCGGAACAAATTTCCTTCAGATACGGCATTTTGGAGCTCCACCTTTGCTTGAATACAAAACAAGGACGAGTAACGCTTTGTTTCCTCCTCTCTGCGATAGGCTGTAGCTCGTCCATGCAAGCATGGCGTGGCAATCGGCACTGGACAAGCATTCAAGTGTATGCTTGTTCCCCAGAGACTGATAATTGATACTCGTGGGTCGCGATTTCCCGCAGATACTATCAATCAACCAAGCTTCAGCCCATCACGGATGCAAACAGGCCATGGCAAGGTGTGGCCTTGGTCCCATGCCTATGCCCCACCATCACCCGTTTCAAGCCCACCCATCCTCTCCATGGTCCCTCCAATAATGCTAGCAGTACGAGTATTGCTACAGGTACTTTGCACACGTCGTTTTTTCCGACACCACCTTCGACGCCCCCTCGCCCCCCCTGGCTTTGGATGAATGGAGCTGGTGCTGAGAGTGGTAGTATCTACTTGTCCTGCATAGCATTGGCCTGCTGCCAGGCGGCAGTCGTTTTTGAACCGCCGGTTGCTCGTCAGTGCCGCCACGAGATCATCTTGCAATCTACCTTTTTATCCGCTTGATACATACATCTTTGATCGGACGAGCATTAGTACACGATGGTGATTGAGCTCCCAAACCAAATTGCTACACGTATGGAGTATGGCATAGGCACTCGTTTAACTATATATATACACCCTACAGAGCACGATACTAACCCCCCTTGCCGCCTACCCCGGCCACTGCCGCCTCCTATCTTGACGGGGAGCTTCGGCGCACATGGAACGAAATCGTCGAATGGCAATGGGCCTTCTCTCTTTCCTTACTATAGCCCTTTTGTTCAAAATTGCTTTTCCCACGTTTGGCGTACAAGTAAAGCACCGATGACTGCGAGAGACCAAGACGGAGTGATCTTTCCCAGATAATACGCAGAGAGGCTATCCACCTTTGCCCACCTCCTCCATGCTGCCAATCGGCCGATTTCAAGCCCGCTCGCCTCTTTTTAAGGTAAGCACAATTAGTGCTAGCGTATATCCTCTTGAAGCCAGCGTACAGCCGAGTACAATAGAAAGATGCGTTAGGTACATGCACTAGTCGAGTGGTAGACAGATTAGGAACTGAGCCTGAGCAGTCTGTCTCATTCTCTCCCTCTCTATCTGTATGTTTATATCCTTACTTGTCTACCGCTTTTCTTAACAACAGCTACGTAGATCTACGCTTGCCGCTATCTTTTGCTTGTACATACAAGAACAAGCTCAAAGGTATAAGATCCTTCTTGCGGTCCCGTTTATTTTGGCCATCGCTTGAAAGCATACACACTTGTCATTTGCAGTAGCTTATTTGCATGTCCAGCACCATGTAGCTTATTATTGCTACTGTACTCCGTACTCCGTACCGCGCCACTCCAATACTTGTGCCATACCTTCTCCCTCTGGTCAGGGATCCTCGTTGAGAGGCGCCTCCACTAACACCCCTGCAAGTGGCTCCTTGGACCGGCCTCTTGCCCTGTCCTGTCCTGCCCTGTCTTGCCTCGTCTTAACTTCTCGCGCGGCTGCCCTACCTGGTCGCATTTAATATTGCGGAGCAGTCCTCTCTTGTCTTTGCACATGGCTGTCTGCGTCTTGGCTCGAAGCCGGTGGTTGTCCGTGGAGCACTGTACGAAGCAAGGAGCAGCGTCGTGATCCCTAGTCAGTGAGACACATTTTGCGTCTTATTCTCCCACCTCCACCAGCGTCTTCTAGAAACTATTCAATTAGCCCAGATTAACCTTGGCTTCGGAGTATTCTGCCTCTGACTGCACAAGCACCAATACTGGTTCGCTAGGTTCCGGAGCGCATCCTTCAGCGGCTTATGAGAATCTCGTCTTTGAGATGAGCAGGGCGCTCTCCACCATACCCTGGCTCGTCAACTTAGCTTTTCTACCATGCCGAGCCGGGTAACGACCGTGTATATACAAGTCGCTGCGCCAGTCATCAGCACCCCTGGTGCACGTCTCGGCAGAACCGTCTCCACGCCTACCACTCGGTATATGCAAAGGCTAGTGGGCCTTTTTTGGGTAGTAGTAGAGGAAGACAGAAATCTCATGCGAAGGACGCTTTGAACGAGCGCTGGTGAGATTGATGGGCGCCCACGTTTACTCCATACATGCAATACCTACCACACGTTACAATAACACGCGAATTGCTACTACGATACATACCATCGAGTGCTAGCAGGGTCAGCATGGACCATCAACAAAAAGCCCCCGAATGCGCCTACAAGTATGTCTTCTTTGCTGTGCTCCGTACCTGTATGCAAAATCGAAGGCAGGCGGACATTGTCAGGAAGAAGGGGGCGTGTACTGTGAAACAGGCACGTTCACCTCGAAATAAGGGAGAATCAAGATTGGGTTTTGATCAATGGTAGAATCATCGCTCGGCCTTTTTTTTTTCGGCCTTGGTTCTTAATTTCCTCTCGTGGTCCTCCACCAATATTACCTAACTTGTGTATTTCCTCGGCGTATTGGGAGATTGGTTTGCAGCGCCACTGGACAAGATTTTTGAGCATGTCTCGCGCCGCATGGAGAGGCGGTCGAGGCGGTCCATCAGCGATGACCAAGCGGAGAGAGGTTAGAAAAAGCGATCAGTACTCTACCCACTTCTCGGGTCTCATCTCTTGACAGAGGAACAAAGCCAAAGACAAAAAAAAAATGCAAGAGATCAGAGGCTGCATAAACAGGTAATAATGAGGCATCAAAGCAAAGGAAGCAGAAGAAGAAAAAATTCAGATACCCACCCACACACCCCCTGGGTATGATAAACGAATGAAATGGGTAAAAAAGGCCGACGATGCTTGTGCTCTCCAGCATGAATTTCAGGCATGCACCGCTTGCCCACCGGACGTCAGTCCAAAGACTTGCAGGGAATCCTGGGGATCCTCTTCAAGCGTCTGATGAACGAGATCCGAGTTCGACCCCTCTCATTGCCGCGACGTACTCCCCCCCCCGTCCTCCTTCCAAGAATGGCTGCATGCGTGGGGACTCAATGGGCTATTTTCTTGCAAGTCCGCTGCGCCTGGCTGGCGCTTGTGTCAAAGAGTCCGAATCATTATTCCACTTAGCCTCACTCGAGTCCTTTTGCTTGTGAAGAGAGCATGGGTCTTAGTCCGGAGTGGACCAGCGTCCCTGGGCCCTCTCCGTAGACAGAAGGCCATCTTAGGTCCCGTACTGGGGTGCAAGGCGGCGGCGGCCCTCACCGGAAGTGCCTGCCCGCAAGCCCGTTCTGCTCATCGAGCTGTCTTTATAGACACACACATGCGCGCACATGCGCATACATACATCCATACATACAGGTACTCGGCTGTGAGTAATAATAGGATCGATATCCCACTCCCGGTCCAGTGCCGGGCCTTTTAAATCTACCAACCACTCCCCTCCATCATCTGCCGCCAGTCTATTATTTATGGGCTCACCTCTTATTTATCATCCTTTATATCCTGTTCTCTTCTCAACTTCATCCTTCAATAATATCTATCGTTGTACGTTGTACACTCGCCTCTCTTTGAAGGAGTTGTGAAGCAGTTTGCTCCCGAGTGGCGAAATATATCAAGAGCCATTTCACTCACTTGATCCTTTATCCGCCGCGACATCAGCCCCTGAACTCCATCAGTCAGCGTAGCAAGACTCATCACGGTTTCCTCAGCGAGCGTAAAAGCAAAGAGGGATATGCGCCCATGATGACAGCAACGGCATATCCAGTAACCATGTCAGACCTCAGAGGAGAGCCTGCTCATTCGAATTTCTGGTCCACCTACAACGGTTCCGCTCACTTGGCCAACAGACTCGGAACAGCAACAATGGACTCTGGCTTTCATAGCTCAGCTTCGGCGTCCCCTCTCCCAGGGCGCCCTCGCAGTGGCCATGACCAGTCCTACACCTATGGACGGTATCCTCAAGAAGAATCCGTTGCGTATGACCGTCACTCTCAATCGAGCCTGTCTGCTCAGCATAGCTACCCCAGCCTCAAGAGGCCCTTCTCGCAAACTGAACCGGCCGCATATCAGGAAATCGTTCAGGACTTGCGAGATGACGGCTCTCGATTGACGGTGAATCAAGATCATAAACTGCTGGCTTTTCGGCGAACACAGGATAAGCATACCATCGTGGATCAACAAGGCCGAATGCAGCAACTGGAATTATCCGCCCAGCTTCATGGCATGTTCTTTCTTTCTGAGATGCCATCGACTGCCAGCGACGGGACTGCCTTACAACCCGAATTAACTTGCTACAGAAGGAATCTGTTTCAAATTAGTGGTTCTTTGATCACCCCCAGAGGACAACTCTCTGTCGTCAACGAGAGCAACGAGACCCTACTGGTGACAAGCATGGAGGTCGCCATATCTGCTATTGAGTCTGTTGATGGCAACCCCGTCCGCCTCATCGTCATTCCATGGAAAACTCCTCCACCTAATGCCCCTGAAATTAACCAAAGCCCGGATCAAGAACCTGCCGCCCTCCCGTTGATTCCCTTCCAAGATGACGGATCTGAGCCTGAAGGAGACTACGCCGTTTATCCTATCGGCTGGCGCCGACTCCAGTTCAGAATGTATGTTTACTTACCTCTCGAATTCTTACCGAAATCCAGTTTCCCTCCATTTTTTCTCATCTTGGAACAGAGATCTGACATTAGGTAACAGTGCTACTGCAAACAACGGTCGACGAAAGGAGCTTCAACAGCACTTTGTGCTTCACCTTAAAGTGTTTGGAACCTTGTCTGACAGCTCCAAAGTTGTCCTGACAGAATCCACCACTGCCCCAGTTGTAGTGCGCGGCCGCAGCCCGCGCAACTTCCAAGCCCGCAGAGAGATCCCCCTGCTGGGATCAAGCGCTGGCTCAAGGGGCCAAGCCTTGGTAGAAACCGGCTTGGGAGTTGTCGCTGGCGCATTAAGTGTAAAGCCACAAGAGCTCAAGAGAAGTGTGGATTTACAGGTACCACGCTCGAACTTTACCTTTAGCGCTCCCAAGGTCCCCGGGAGCGGACAGCTGGGTTCAATGAGACCTGCCAAGTAAGTTTTAAATTGCGACTGGGTTATTTTCCGAGTGAGCTAACAGAATGTCAAGCCCATATCCAACTTGGAGTGCTAGTAGTAGCAGCACGTCTATCTCTCAAGTCGCCTCATCTGGCCCAGGAAGCTACTCAGCGGCAACGATGGGCGCTGATACGTATTCTAAAGTTTCCATGCCTACCGCGTCGACCTTTACTTCAGATCCCCAAGAGCTGCCACTTCAATCAACGATATCATCCTTGCCACTTGAGCAGCAACCATCGGCTCGTGGGCAGTATACCTATGTACAACAGCAAACTTCCGGATCCCAGCTGCCAGCTAGCACACCAGCAGTGAGCGGCCAGGATAGCGCTTTGAGCATCCCTAGATATGTTGAAAACGGCCGACCAAACAAGAGTCCGAGACATAGCGGCCAGCAGTCTGTTCATGCAACCAACTCCGTGAACAATAGCGAATCGCCCGAGTACCGGTACGGATCTACGACGCAAGGATCAACCTCTTCAAGGGAATACTATTCGTCATCACAAGCCTGGTCTAGCACCGTCGCCGGCGAGAACAGCTCCACTACAGCTTATAATACAACTGATGCGAGACCATATCCATTCTCCCATGACTCCTATAAGGCGGGGACAACAACTGGATCTTCAGCGAAGCCTGAATCTCGCGGGTCGTTTGAGCACATGCATAATTATTCATGGACTGCAAGCTAGGTACTTGCAGCATCATGATTAAGTGTGAGGCAATTTCGGCAGGCAGCTACAGAGTATCCTTTGTTTTTGTCGTTTCTTTCGGTTGTAAATTACTAGGGATTTTTATTTATCCAGGATGGACTGGGACATGTGTGCAATGAACACTTTGATTCTACGGCGCAAATAGGCAACAAATGCTATGGAGGCTTTATTTCACGGATTTATCTATGCTTACCTATGTACATACTTTATGCATATATACATACAGATACACAGATACACAGATACACAGATACACAGATACACATACGTGTTCGTGTTCGTGTAGGTGCATGTGTGTATGTATGCTTATACATTTAGGCAAACATTTGGATTTTGGACGGGCAGTTGGTTGGAAAGGTGGCTAAAAATATGATTAATCTGTTATGGCGTTAAGGTCAAACTTGGTTATTGGGTCCGTTGGGACGAAGTTGTGGTTCAGGTACTTTACAATACAAAGATACCACCCACAATGGCGACTTGTGATGGGCTGATAGTTGATTTTGATTGCTTCTTTTTTTTTTCTGTTAGCGAGATGAGCGCTTTTCTTGAAGAGCTCTGATTGGACGGCAATAGGTTATACACGAGATACCTGCCAATGGCACTTTTGTTCTATGACAAATTATGTGATGCATTATTCGAAGTGATTGCAGTCACCAAGTGCCTGGGCTAAATTAGGGGGAAAAAAGAAAGAGGAAGAAGGCCACGCGGAAAAAGCCTCTCTCTATTCTGTGCCTTGATTAATTTGCGTGAATTGTCTACTGCACGCTCTATGCAGGGCTGCATGAGATGTGACCCTAGGCTAATATAAACATGTACGTTGTGTAGCATGCAGAACTGGCGAGGCTCAGTTGCTTACTCCTTTCGAGCGAGGGCACGGCATTGGAAAGGATAAATTCAAAATAGATTAAAGAAGGATTACATAGTATGTCAAGTTTCTGTTCTCTTTTTGCTGTTGCTCCTGCGCTGGTTTCCGGGCGTGGGGGCCAAAGGTGTTGATTCCTCGTCATATTCCATATTCCCTTGTAAGCGGGGGGGTGTTCCTGGCTGCTTCTTCTTTTCGTGACCGTTGGGGAGGATTCCGGGGCCTTGGTCTAGACTCTAGAGAGATAGGAGCTGAATCTAGAAATAGATACGTATGGAATTGGATGTGTGCAGAATGCTGCGTGGAGTGCTTAATTGCTGCCATATAAAGAGGTACAATGTATTGTTGCTGCTATGTGTGGGAGGCATCTGTACTTGGAGTTGGGTGCCCCCTAGTACAAAGTACGCCAAAGGCTGGCTGTACTTTACGTTAGTAGCAGCGTAGGGGGTACCTGGGTACATATGGACATGCTCGGCACCTTTGATAAGATAAGCCAACCTTCAAAGACAGCGACACATTTCTGTCTGCAGTTTCGCTTTATGTTGGCTTGGATTTAGTTAATTGAGCGTTGACGTTTTCCCGAGGCGTGACGCTAATTGGATTATACCTATTTGTTTCATCTCACTTTTTTTTTCTTGGACCTTTGTATCTCATAATAGGCGATTGGGGCACGTCTAAATTTAGCAGACTCGGGATTGGACGGAGGGGGAAAAAACTTTTGCCCTGTCATACTGGAAACGAATCACCATGTTTGAGGTCCCTGATGCGAAGAGGTATGAGCTGCTCTCATCTCTCCCTCTCTATTACTTGCATATTTGCTTCTTGTAGATGTTTGTAGGCTAATTAGTCAACTAGAGTTCGCCGAGAAGATTTACAAGCATCGGATGAGTCTTCATGGAGTGAGAGCGAACCCGATGCCGAGCTGGAGGCACGGCTCAATGCGCAAATCGCCAGATCCCTTGGGCTGGATGAGAGTGCCTTTAGTGCACCGAAACCTCAGATTACTTTACCGGTGGTCACAAAGCCTCAGGTTGTTGGAAAGAAGGAAGATGAAGAGCTCGACTCTGATGAAGAAAGCGAGCCAAAGACGCCAGCTGAAGGCTCTCAAGTCAAAGAAGACGGCGAAGACGAAGATGAGGTTTATGCTTTCCGACTATTCAGCGCGGCTGGTCCGGCGCCACAGGTTGTTCTTGAAAACACCAACAGAGTCGTAGAAGGCAAAATGATTTGGGGGCGGCCGTTATCATACTACCTGGTCACGGATTTGTCGCCTGAGAAGAAGCAGCAATATGAGATGGCAGCCGTGAGCGGCGAAGACGTCATTGAGCGATCGAAAGGGAGGGCGTGGGGTCTTGAGCTCCCTTGGAGAGTCCAAACCATCAAAGTAACCCGAAAAGCTGGCCGACAAAAAGGAGAAACCGTGGCTCACGTTGAGGATGACCAGCCGGCGAAGAGGAAGCGGCCGGGGAAGAAGCGTAGAGTCGCGATGAGGATCAAGGCGAGGGCAAAGGCGCAGGCTGAGGAAGCGGCGAAGCAGAAGATGGCTGAGAAGGAGGAGCACATTAAGGATAAGAAGAAGAGATTGAATCGGCTGAAAAAATTGAGGAGAAGAGCGAAGAAGAAGACTGAGAAAGGGGGAGGTGGTGAGGCTGGCGGTGAATCGGACGAGGACATGTCAGACGCTGAAGAGTAAGAGGAGCGAAACACTTGTATATAAAATGCATACATAAGAACAGTTTGGTATATATTGCAAATTATAGAATTATATTTTCAAAAGTCTACGAAATGGTGAGACTTTTCTTGACTGATTCTTTCCCCCATCTGCTATTACATGATATGCCTACTACCGAGGCCGTGCTTGAGCGCCATAAACCAAACCATGGAAACACTTCGCTGTTGTTGTAGCGCTTGGCCCGCCCAGCCCCAGCAAAGCAGTACCGCAGTACCTCAGGGGACATGAGGGGTCGCCCAGCCAATTGGAGCTGCGCTGCGAGCTCCGGACCAGCGCCCCTCCAGCAGAAGCACCACCTTATCAGAAAGCTACAAAGTTCCTTTGATTCTGGAGCTGCAGCATCTCATCATCACCTGCACATGACCAGTATCAACGCGCGATAGCATCTGCCTAGCGACCATCTTTCTACTTTGCATTCTGGTAACTATATATCACCGTCCTTATGGATTAACTAAACCCCCTGGAGAAGAATCTTTGGCGAGACCCCGCAATGCGCTGCATAGATCGAGAAACCGCCACGTCCCATCGAAAGCCCACCTCATGATGAATAGTTTGTGGTCTTCAGCGAAAACGGCCCAGGGGGCTTCCAACGAGGCTTCCAATGACGCGACACAGGAGCCCATCGAGTTCTCGCCGGATGATTCCGCGATTGACGATTCGGCGGAGCCCTCTTCAGCTCCAATGCTGCCGCCACTTTCGTCTGCCAGAGTCCCCCTTCAACAGTCTCAACAGCAATCGCAACGATATTCGAACGCTATGCAGGGCGGTGGTGCAGGCTATAACTCGGCAGCGCCTCCCGCTTCGTCAAGCAGCAGCAATAATTTTAATAACAGTAATATGAGCCGCGGAGCACCGATACCACAACATGCCCCCACCGACTCTCTCTCCCTGATGCAGCTGAGGCGCATCGTGGCCGGAGTCAACTCTGCCGAGCCTGCGGCATACGATTTTGTCTACACAGACATGGGTCCGCATGCCGAAGAGATAGACGAGTGGTTCGTGTACCAGTTTTGGCAGTGGGTGCGTCTTAACGCGGCTCAGAAGGCCTTTGAGTGGCACTGGAGTCAGAAGTCGGGCGGCAAGCTTGGCTGGGACGATGCAGACCACGACACAAGAGCAAAATTTATACAGGCTGCCATTGCGGGTGTGCAGTCAAACGATGCGGCGTTGAGAGCAACCTCGATTGGCAAGATTATGTACCTGGTCCTGGGTAGATGGGGAGATACGGCCATGCCGCACGCGACGGATGAGACGAGTCGATCTATTGCAAGCATCTCGCAGCTGCAAGCAATAAAGGCGGGAGTCACATGTTTGACGTCGCTGGATGGCCTCTCGGTCGTTTGGGGAGCGCTGAGGAACGTCTTTGAGATTCACTGGTATGAGCCGCGAGTGCTTGAAAACATTAGGTGCAGTCTAACGTGGATAGGTCTGGCGATATTCAACAGGCAAGCGCTCAAGATGCTCAGGACGAGTTGATGAATCTCTTGACAATCATGTACATTGCTGTTCAAGAGACATTAAATGATCCTGAAGAAATGTCTCCTACTTACGGAAAATTGCGTATGTACAGACGGATATTTGCGACTTTGATTCCCGCGAGCGTTGCTAACAAGAGATGACTAGTTGAACTGAACCCCTCACTGGTTGACTTTCTGATGCTGGCGATTTCCAAACTCAGATGGGACGAGCAAAATACAATGCCCCATACTCAGGTAAAGTCCCTTGAGCTTTATATCCTCTTTTGATCCTATGTAAGTACGCGGTCAGGGCATACTCTAACAAATTGATACAGATATTTTTGCTGTTTTGGAAGTCGATTCTCCTTGTATTTGGTGGTACTGATGACCTTGACCGGATCAAGGAGGCCACCAGCGAGTTAGCTGGAGACAAGAACAAAGACACCATCACAGCAAACCCCCTAGACTACCACGTCTTTCGCCAGGAAATCACGTCGAAATATCCTGCCTATGTTCCACCACAGCCATTAATACCTCTAGAGGCTGATAACCCGTCGCTTCTACCACCTCTGCCTAATATAATGACCCGAAATGGTTCCAATGGAATCATCACACAGCCGACTAACATGCAGATGGGAGGAGCATCTATCCTCAATCAGCCGGTGCACATTGCCACCCCGGCTCCATCGCCTCCGCCGTCCCCGGGCGTTAGTGGAAAGGGAGGCAAGAAACAAAACTACCAAACCAACCAAAACTTTCCCTTCATGTATCCTCCTCTTGATGCCACCAGTAATAGTGCTGGCGGGAAGGGTGGCGCTGGATATGGCAACCCTCTGGTCTCTAGGAAATGGGAGGGGAGCGATATTCCCGCATCGATCCTCGAAGCAGGGCAGCTGTTCTCGTCACGCGTTCGGATGACCCGAGCGACCCGTCAACTCTGGGAAGAGCGAGAGCGATTTCTCAAGTTTGAACGCGGCTGGGAGACGGATGATGACGGAGATGATGATGAAAACGATGACATTGAGGACCTTGATCTTAGCGAGCTCACGCTGGAGGAAAAGGAAGTCTTGCGCGAACTGAGAGTAGAAGATAATAAGGAGAAGAAAAAGAAGGAACGATCATGTCCAGGTCCTGAGGTTGACTTGGGACCTTGCCCGGAGAAGCTGAGCGAGCGAGACAAACAACGGCTCCTTGCGGTGGAACGATTCTATGTAAGAGTGCCCATGGCTGCTTGGTTGCTCCACTCTTCCCCTTGCTGATCCAAGAACTAACACCCAAATCTTCTCTTCTAGGCCAACGCCTTGCCTCATCTTCAGTCTATTGTGATCGTTTTGCTTCGTCCAATTCTTGTTAATGTCACGGCTATTGTGACCCAGCAGCAAAATCAGATGGCAGGCATGACCAGTAGGGCAAACAACCCTGGCATGAACGGCGGCCCTGGATCACAGAGGGGTATGGATGGACAAAGCCAACCCGATCAAGAAGGAGAGCCGACTCCTGAAGAGATTGATGCTACTCGGACACGAGAGATTACTTCAAAGGCTATGACAGCCATTCTTCTACTTCTACTGAAGTGGCTTAGACTCTCACGTAAGTGATCTTAGACACCGTTTATTAAGAACTAATAAGCTAACAATGGTTTGAATATTTAGATGTGCTCAAATTTGAATATTTGACTCAGCTTTTACTAGACTCCAACTATCTTCCCTTGGTTCTCAAGCTCTTCGCACATCAAGATATTCAACAAGTAGTTGACAGCAAGATGGACCATGTTGAAAACAGGTAAGAACCACCCTCATCTGTAAGATGCACTGATAGCTATGTTTCATCTTACTTACTACTCGGGCAGCTTCTTCCAATTCTGCAACATTCGGTCAAAGTTTAAGGACAAGACTGAGAGCGATCTCGAGAATGAGGGGGAAGATGTAGACGAAGAAAACGCTCATGGTGAAGAGGAAAACAAGGTGGGGAATCCAGAAGGAGAAGACAGCGAAGATGACGCAGCACCACCGCCTATTAAGAGACAGCGAGAGCTGGAGGAACCAGCAGTGGACCAGATGGAGGATATAGCAGTCAACGGGGAGGACCCCGTCCCAATGAGGCCAGAAGTCGACGAGATGGGTTTGCCTCTTAGCTCTCTTCCGCTGGAGCCCATTACCGACTTCTCCAGGAGGAATTTCTTCTCTCTGATCAACTACCTCAGGGTGATGCAAAAGATCTGCAAGAACAAGGCGCACCGCAACCTCTTGCTTGTGCAGTACAAATCATCCACCATCCTTAAGAAGTCCCTCCGGGTTCCCCAGCCTGAGCTTCGACTATACACGCTCAAGCTCTTCAAGGGCCAGGTACCGTACTGTGGCCGTAAGTGGAGGCAGTCCAACATGCGCGTCATCACAGCAGTGTATCTCCACTGCCGGCCCGAGCTCCGCGACGAGTGGCTTGCAGGTAGCGACATCGACGCCGAGGTGGACTCGGCGCTACCCCTGGAGCAGGCCCTCCGGAGCTTGACGCACTGGCTGAATGTGCGGAGATATCCCGAGAAGATTGCGGCGGACATTCGCATTGCGATGAGGGAGGAGCAGGACTTTTTCTCAAGAGAGCTGGAGAAGGTGGACCTGAACTGGACGGATTTGATGCTCAATGCTGATGATACTATGAGTGAGATGGATCATGCGGAGTCGACTTGGGGTTGACGGAAAGCGATGGCAAAGCCTTTCTTTTTCTTTTTTCTTATGAGAGTGTGCGAGAGATATTAAGCGTGTGACAGGAACCAGCATACATTGCGGCATTAACTAAGTTGATAGAAAACGGGCAGGTGTTTTAAGGACAGGTACGGCTCGCTTCGTGGAGCGTGGGCATGAATGTTTGTTTCCTTTCCTCGCCTTTTTTTTTATAGCTGAGCGAGTTTAAATGAAACTATCTTATATACTATAAAATGCGTTACTGCAACTTGACTTCCAGTGATGAACATGTGCGTATCACGAGTTGAAAGAATGGCTGCCAGGATGTTTAATTTTTTTTTTTCCAAATTTATTTAGACTTGAATTGTCATGATATTACTTATTAATACGAGGTGACGAGTCATAACCCTCTGCGGTGTTTTTTCTCTGCCCACTTATGAGGCTATTTCTAGAATAACATTTGATAGTATTTCGTTCCAGGTGGTTATACAGTCCTTCTCCCAGGCCATATGTCTCGTTAATCACGCATAAACAAAGGGTATTACTTCTTCCTCTGAGTTGCTATCGTACATTCATACAGTAGCTTCTGTTTCTCTTCCTGTCTCGTTTTCTTTGTCTTTTTACCAATTTTTTTTCTCTTGTTTTCTTCGCTTTCTTGTAAGACATTTCTGCTTTCGTCTTTTTCACCCATCAGTACCAAGTAGTGTAACATTGCGGGATAAGTTTCCCTTGAAGGGATGATACACTACTAATGGTACGATTTATAAATTGGCTTTTAATGGTGAGAACTGTCATACACGCCATCGTCGTAGTGGTATGGATTTTGCTGCTGCCCGTAGCCAGCCGTGCCGTGTGGAGCCACATAGCCACCAGCACCCATGTATGCCGTGTTTGTGGTGGGGCCGGTGACGCCGGTGTAGCCATAGCCAGACTCGTACTTGTTGTAGCCATCGGTGTGCTTGTAAGGGCTGTCGATGTCGTCGGCATTGAGCTGGTCTGGTAGGGTGTGCTGGGGAAGCATGTTGCCCTCTTCAATGGGATCGGCCTTGTTGGCGCGGCCGAAGAAGCGTCCAAAGAAGCCACCGGTCTTGCGGCGGCCAGAGCCAGAGGTGTAGTCGTTCTGGGGACTAGGGCCGTAGCGCTTTTCCTTCTGGTGGTGGCGAGTCAGAGCAAACTCCATAAGGATGGAGAAGACGAAGAAGATGCTAGAGAAGATGTTAGTTTGTTTTTTTTTTTTTGCCCTGGACTTCGTATTCTGGAGAAGGGGGAGGAGGGAGAGATGCTGGCTTATTGAAATCACAACTTACATTGCAATGATGGCAACAGCCAGAGATGCACTCTGCAGCCTGCAGGCGGTGTGGAAGCTGGGCAGCTTGGTGAAGCCACTATTCGCTTCAACCGTGCTTGACGACTGGCCTTTTCCAAAAGGTGTATCCAGGACACCGGTGCAGCTGCCGGCGCCATTCTTGTTGGCGACGGCAACGTAAATGTAGGCGCCGATGAAGGCGATGTCAAGCACAACGGCCAAGAAAGCGGTCAAAGTGTGGCCGGCAAGGCAGCACAGCATAAGCAGTGCCAAACCAGTGTACAGAGTGCCAGCTCCCGAGATGCCCTCGACGGCTCGTAGACTGGTGGCGATGGGGAGGTTGTGGTTGTGTAGCGTTGCGAGGAAGTACGAGTAGATGGCGAGGATGATGGCGCTGCAGCAGAACTGTATGCCGCGGAAGAACCACTGAAGGAATTTGAGGCCGAAGCCTGTTCTGGCACCCATGATGGATGTGTCAAGGTTTGTGCGAGTTGAGATGCTGAGAGAGGGTATGAAAAGGAATTTGGAATTTGGTGGTGTGAGAGATGTATGTCAGGTGTAACTCTCTGCTAGAGGATCATAGGCGGTAAAGAGGAAAGAAAACTGTTTGGAAGGCCCAGGATTAATGAAAGGCCGGACGGTGGAGAGCTCAGTAAAACATGCAACAAGCGAGGGAAAAAGGCGAGTCAGTGGGTGGATGAAGATTGAAAAGTAAAAATACAGAACCGCAACAAAGAATGTGCGATCATCTCTCATCCATTCATTCATTCACCTTGTCACCAACCTTTTTCCGGACGCACTCACATGCTTGTGGCGGGGCCAAAGTCGTCACAGGATGACGTACTCAATTAAGGTTAGTGGGCGGCGTACCGGCACTGTGGCTGAGGCGGTACCTCGCGGGTTGCTGCGGCTGGCCTTGGCTGGTTTTGGCTGCAGGACGCTATGAGAGGCGACTTTTGGGGTACAAGCCCGGTGGAGGATGGGTACCTCTCCTTACGCTGGTTGATGAGAGGTTTTCTTCGCTTTGCTTTCCACAGAGATGGATGAAGAGTTTGATTTATTGAGGTTGTCAACATGGATTAGAAGATTAGCGATACTAATCTTACATGCAGTTACTATATTTCAGCCGTGTCTCCAATCCTTGGGGTGCTCAAGCAAGCAAAGTTCAGAAGTCTATCTATCTTAAGACAAAGCCTAGAGGTGATGGTGGCTGTGCAGCTGCTGGGCAGAGCATCGCCATCTTCCGGCTCAGCTCAACTGTGAGGAATTGCCAGACTAAACGAAAACTACTGGGTAATGTGGCGCGGGTGCAGATTCTCCGAAGAGGGTAGACAGTTGGAGGCCTTTCTACTGGGCATGAGTCTAAAGCCAATCTTCCAGCTACCTCAGCACTAAAAAAGCACAAGTAGGCCACTGTGTAGGTGACGAATGCGTGGCTTCGACGAGGTAAATGATGGGTGAAGATGAAAAATGGGGGATTTGCTGGAGCTGGGTGCCTTGTATAATCGCATGTACCTGATTGAACTTGTCTCGACTGGCAAATGGGCTGCGAGACAAGACATTTCAACCACGTTGCGCGAAGATCTTACCTGCAAGGGCAAGACATGCGCGATGATGCTCATTTGTTCGCCACCCCCCAGTAGTAGCGAGCATCATCAAGGGGATGCCGATCGATTGCAGAACAAGGCCCAATGGAGAAGTATAAATAAATAAGAATAAAAATAAAAGAGGAGAAGAGAAGAAAGAGAAACATCTAATCTCACTGTACCGTAGTCAGAAAGTGTGTACGACATAGCCTAGTCTATGCATCGGATACTCTGGACAGTCTCTTCAACTCTGCTGCCTGGATCCAAAACACTTTGACACGGAAAGGCGTATGTAAACCGAAGGGCTGGCAAAAATGACTACGGAACGACAATAAAAGCGGTGCGGCAGAACGTTCTAAGCGATTCTCCGGGGTCGGCCCCTCACTAGCAGTAGTGCAAAAATATGCAAAATATGCCGACTACTATCCTCCATGGTATTTAAGGTAAACTATGTATAATCACCCATATATACCTACTTTATAAAGAAGGGAAAAACAAGAGTAAAAAGAAAACTTTCAAGATACCGTCTCGTTCTCAATAGTGCTCCTGTTCTCACCATCACTCTATATTTCTACCTGAAAGCTGTGCCAATTGGGGTTCCATCAATCTATATCGGGCATCAACAAGCAGGTAATTAGGAGCCATGGGATCCGAAATCCGTTCCAAAGTCCCCTATATCGAAACGCCGCTCATCAAATCCACAACCCTCTCAGAAATAGCTGGCTGGTAAGGAGACATGATTAATTCCATGGTCAATGCCTCTTATCAGAGCAAGGCGCTAACGTCGCATCAGCAATGTCTTCCTCAAACTGGAAAACCTCCAGCCCTCAGGGTCATTCAAGTCCCGCGGCATAGGCAACTACATGGTAGCCAAGCTCGCTGAGCAAGGGGCGGATCCCAGCAAGACTCACTTCTACTGCTCATCCGGTGGAAACGCCGGGCTGGCCTGTGTCCATGCCGCCATCACCCTGGGGTGCCGAGCCACTATTGTCGTTCCCATGTCTACTTCAGTATATATGATGGACAAGCTGCGGCAAGCCGGCGCTACAGACGTTATCCAAATAGGGGCATCGTGGCAAGAGGCCGACGAGTATTTGACGGGCACTCTCATGGAGGAAGCCCGAGCAAAGGGTGAGGTTGCCATCTATGTGCCTCCCTTTAACGCCCAAGAGATCTGGGACGGCAACGCAACCATCTCGAAGGAGATTGCGAGACAAATTCCCACCATGACCAGACACTACCCGATATCCATTGATGGAAAATCAGACGATGATCCGACAGCACGCATAGAGAACGTCGACGCCATCGTCTGCAGCGTGGGTGGAGGCGGCCTCTTCTCTGGCCTGATGCAGGGCCTCGACGACCTCTCCATGCAAAAGACCCGAGTCGTTGCTGTTGAAACATTAGGTGCCGACTCCCTTTACCAGGCTGTCCAAAAGCGCGAGCTTGTAACCCTACCTGCCATCACAAGCCTCGCCACCACTCTAGGTGCCAGGACGGTCTGCAAAAAGGCCTTTGAATATGGCCTCCGCGAACAGGTCTCGACGGTTGTAGTCTCCGATGCCGAAGCCATTGCCGCAAGTAAGCGGTTCGCTAGCGAAGAGCGCTTCCTTGTCGAGTTGTCGTGCTCGGTTTGTCCTGCGGTGGTATACGGTGGCAAGCTGAAGGAATTGGTTCCCGGTCTCAACAAAAATAGTGTGGTTGTCCTTGTGATATGCGGAGGAGCCAATATTTCCTACGAAATACTACAACACTATACCGCAACCCTTTCATCTGCACATTTGAGCTAATAAAGCTAGAAGGAAACGAGAAGGAGATGATAGAAACATAGATCTAGACTACACGCTAAACAGGGGAGAGTAAGACACAAGAAGGTGTTAAACCGGAGATTTGACAAGTATAAATTTAGACATGGCTGAAAATGCCTATTTCGTTGTTAGTAACATCAACTACTATTGTCATTAAAGCGTCCGGAATCCTCCGTGGGATGATAATTACTCAGCTGAGCATGTCTCGCGGATAAAGTCGAAGAAAGGCGAAAAGGGAAAGCAATAATTGATTATGGTCATTTTTCATTTATTTTGACGTGTGCGTTGTCTCAACGATCTATATTCGGGAAATATAGTATGCTAGCCAAATCATCTAGGTCTGGTAGGTATTTGGCGACCCTCCAAACTGTGAGGCTGATGTAGACGAGGACCTTGGCACCGGCATCTCGGCACCTCTATGGGCCAAACAAACGGACCATGCAGGTCGACTCTCAAGACTCAAGGTGCGTGAAGTTGAGAAGCACTTGTAGTAATGTGGGGGTTCGTGGTTCTCGACTCTCTTTCTTGTTGAAAAGGAGGCCGAGCCTGCATGCTGTTCAATAGACTCATCACATACGTTGCATTGTGAACTGCATGGTGGTATAGCAGGGCTGATGAAGCTGCATAGTATAAAGAGAACTCTTGCTCAATCCTGTGGCGATGGCCCGCGGACGGCCGGGATCTGGCCGAACGATTGCTCGTGAAGGCGGAAGTGGTGTGGCCGAACTACGGCTCGCTGGCTGCCCCGATGCAGGAAAACGGGTCTCCTTGGAAACAATCGTGGTGCTGTCCTAGTCTAGGAAACCAGCCGCTCTGCCCATTGTAAAGTGACGCATATCTAAATCCCATGTGCACCTCATTCGGCCATGGTTGATACGTATTGACTCCCGAAGAAGAAGATGTGAAAACAACCAGCAGCCGAGAACAAATCATCTGCTATGCCACACATCGAAGATGCTTTGGAGTGGACTCCTCGACATTGTTTCGGGGCTGGGTGGAGTCGGGACCAAAATACCAAGACAGCCAGTCTGAAAGCCTATTGTCAGCATCCGTCCGTATCTGCGACTGACCTGCATATGATTGAAAAGCCAGCCGCTTATTGGCTCACTGCTGGATGGACTCGGGACCCAATCCGTCATGGGCTGCGTCCAAAAAGCCGCTGGAGTGCAGACGAAGTGCAGATATTACTCCATAGATATTGGGAAGCTGCAGCAACAATCTGCCCTCCAAGGCAGCCACGCGCGGATAAATTACTGCTCACGATCCACTGCATATGCAGTGGTCGCAAAGGATTGATCGAAGGCCGGGATACGAGGCATTCACGAAATTGGCTGCAGCACTTGGACTTTTTTTTCTTTTTCTTTTTTTTTCTCCCCATTCCTTCTCCCTTCTCTTTTTCTCCCACTTCTGCTTCCATGTGGTCTCATGGCACTGCTGGCGTAGCGGCGAACCCCCATACAGTATCACCAATCTCGTCTAGCTGGACAGGCAAATAGACGAGCCCAAACTTTCTTGAGGGTGTGATTCAAGAGCCATGAGTGACCAGTCAGTCAGCGATTTGTTGTCTGTGTTACCACGGCAATATTAGGTCCATGGTAGAACTAGAACCATAACCGCAACAGCCAAGTCGGAACGGCTCTTGTATGTACTTGTCGTGTGTAGCCGCAGTAATTTCCTCCAGGTGGCCTTCGGCACAGCTCACGAGCAGGGAGTCACCAGATGATAAAGCTACTACCAACTAGCAGTAGTAGCTGACCATCACTAGCACTCGGCACTCCATCCCTGGGCTTGAAAGTTTGCGCTACGGCTGGCTTCCGAGAGTATCAAGCAGGCCCCTGGCGAGCATTTGGGCTACTCGCCGATCCGGTTAATGCTGGTGCTATATCCGATCCTGCTAGCCCTCTAAGAGCCTTGATAACGCCAACAGTATTAGCCGCCCGCTCGACGGTCGCGGGACCTGAATAAGGTAGCAGCAGTGGGCCAACGGATCAAGCGGGATTGGACATTTTGGAGAAGCACATCAACAAACCGTGAGACAAGAGAGAAGTCTGCTAATCCTGTAGATGGTGCCGCCCCCATTGCCAAGATTGGTTCGGTATGCGGCATGCAGTGTGTGCGGGTGGACTCGTTTTCTGCTGCTTCATCTCGTCTATGCCGCCAAGGAAGCCACTTCAATGACAAAAGGGAATGCCAGCCCTGGCCGGCCAAGCAATAGTAGCAGCAGCATTAGCTGGCGCCATGTGCAGCATCAGCACCATCTTTCAGCTGCCAGCACGCCGCCATCCTGCCCGACCAACAGCGCATCCGCGGCTATCGAGGCGGCCCAGAAGGCAATATTGCGACTGTGCTGCGTACAAAACACCCACATGCCACTGGCTGGGCAGGCAAGGGTGCGGCACGGCGGGGGCGGGGGGAAAAGCCGTGAGTGTGAGTGAGTGTGGTTTGTCTTTTCAGCCCGCAGGGACTGTCAAAGAGAAGATAAAAGCAAAATTGGAAACAAACAAATAAGAAATGGCTCGGGTCAGAAGCCAAAAAGCTGGGCCAGCAGTCTCTGCGGGGTGGATTATCCTTTGTTCCCAGCGCACGATGCACGTTAATTTGCGGTGGCCGCCCAAGCAATGGCATGAGGGCCTTCTGTCGGCGTGGCTAATGCAGGTCGGCTGCCAAAAATACGAGAACCACCTGAACAAGCCAGCCCTTGCGGTCAGCATCTCTCCAATCGATGGCCTCGATCCCGCCACTCCGGGCTGAGGACCAGGGACCAGGGCCTTTGCGGCGCCGTAGCGTTGCAGTGGTGTCTGCGAGCTTCTCGACGACGCTGTGAGGCTATACGACGCCATGGACGACAGACGGCAGAGCTGCAGCATCCATCGCACGACTCTGCTGCAGCCTCACCCCCCTCTCTTCGGCAAACTCTGCCATGGACTTTTTTTTTTCTACTATTCCTCTCCTTCTCCTTCTCGTTCTCTCTTCATAAAGACATGAGTCTGCCCACGCGTTTGTTTGGGATTTGAGGCCATCCACACTCGCTTGTGTGCGTGTGTGTGTCGATAGAGGAAGGCCACACAACAACACTCCTTGAGCTTCGCTGTTGTTGATACTCTGCTGTCTTCTCCATACTCCCTATTCCTCTTATTGTCATTGGTTTGGACCAGTTTGACATCGTCGACAGAAGCAAAGAAATCTGAGTTGCAAAACCTCAGTTCCTCCCGTCATGAAGTCGACAACTGCTCTGTTGGGCCTCCTCGGCCTGGCTGGCTCAGCTCGTGCTGATCCCACATGGCCAAACGCGATAGACGAGATTGAGGAGATTATGACCCAGCTTCAGTCGTTCCGCGCACGCAAATTTGCCGACACCGTGAGCCCATGCTCCAACGAGGCTTCGGGCCCAGGCCGACAGAACGCTGCCGAGTGGCTCCGTGTCGGCTTCCACGACATGTCCACGGCAAACACTTTCTTTGGCATTGGTGGCCTCGACGCCTCGCTTCAGTATGAGCTAAACGATGGCGAAAACACCGGCCCTGGCCACAAAACGACGCTGGAGTTCATGGCCCCGTATCTCTCTCCTCGATCTTCCTTGGCTGATTTGATTGCCTTGGGTGTCTATACATCCGTTCGCTCTTGCGGTGGCCCTGCTGTTCCAATTCGCGTCGGCCGAATAGATGCCACCCAGGCGGGACCCGTGGGCGTGCCTCAGCCCCAAAACTCAGTCTTTACCTTTCAGCAGCAATTTTCTCGTATGGGCTTCAACACCCAGGAAATGATCCAGGTCACTGCCTGTGGTCACACTCTCGGTGGTGTTCACAACACCGAATTTCCCACTCTTGTTCCTAGCGGGTCTGGTGTCGATGGCGAGGGGAGTCTTGACTCGACTGATGCTGTTTTCGACAACAAAGTCGTAACTGAATACCTATCTGGAAACACCACAAACCCTCTTGTTGTCGGCCCCTCAGTCAAGCTTGGCATGAATTCCGACTTCAAAGTATTCAATGCCGATGGTAACCAGACTATGGAGGCTTTGGCCGATGCCAATAACTTCACCTCTGTTTGCAAGACTGTGCTGCAAAAAATGATTGAAGTTGTTCCTCCGAGCGTCAAGCTGTCCGACCCCATTGTGCCCTACAAGATTAAGCCTGTAAACATGCAGCTGACACTCATCAATGGCGGCAGCACTCTTCAACTCACGGGCTACATCCGCGTCAAGACCACCGGCCTTGCCCAGAACAGCATATCCAGTGTATCCATCACTTACAAGAACCGCAAGGGCACTACTGATTGTGGCCTCAGTTCTTGTGTTGTAACGGCCACCGTTCAGGGTGTTAGCCAAGGCTTCGACGATACCTTCAACTTCTATCCCATTGCGGCTAACATCCTTGCCACGTCGGGTATCTCGTCCTTTACCATTACTGTCAACAACGCTGATGGTACCAAGGACTTGTACGACAACAACGGCCAAGAGTACCCAATCCAGGATGCAATCGTCTTCCAGGCTCCCCAGAGCTGCGTTCTTGGATCCTCTGGAGCTCTGACTGCTGTGGCTGCTGTTCGTAACGACCGCCTTAGCCAGGGTGCGCAGGCCAGAATCTGGTACAAGACTCCTCAAACTACTAGCCCCGTTCCTCTCCTGCAGAATACCACCCTCGACCTCCAAAAAGGACAGTGTGTCGGACCGTATACTTTATTCAACGTCGATTACACTATTCAAGGCGGCCTAGCTTACGAAGGATACGTCGATGTCATAAGCGGCGACCAGTCCGATAGCTTCAAGGCTCTTACCGGCATCGGTGGCACTTGCCGTGCTTTCGCCAATCCTGCCACATGCAATGGCGGCGATTCAGGATCTGTTGGCTCAACGAGCATCCCAACTCTTCCGGCCACCACTTCTGCTGCGCCTACATCTGAGCCTGCAACCAGCGAGCCGATTACCTCTGAGCCACCCACGACGGTACCTCCTACAACAGTGCCTCCCACCACGACAGTTGCTGCTCCCACTCACCGCCCTACGGTCGGAGGATATGTGATGGTCTCTTGCTGGACGGAGGGTGATGCCGTGCGTGCTCTAAGCGGCAACTCGTACGCCAATGACTCGATGACGTTGGAAAGCTGCATGGACTACTGCAGTAGCTACGTCTACTGGGGAACTGAATACGGTCGAGAATGTGAGTGTCTCTTATCCTGCAATTTTTCTTTTCTCACTTTTCTTTTGAAATCTCCTTCTCAGCTAACACATGTACAACTCAGGTTATTGTGGCAATACGCTTGCTAAGAGCAGTGAGGCGGCTCCTATCGACCAGTGCAACATGGTCTGCGCTGGTGACGCCAGTGAATTTTGCGGTGCCGGCAATCGCCTTGAACTCTATTCTACCACTGTCACTCAGCCTCCTTCTCCCACTGGTACCTTGACTCATGAGCCCACTGTTGGTCCGTATACACTGGTGGGTTGCTGGACGGAGGGTCAAGGTGTTCGCGCTCTGGGCCAGGATGCTACCCTCTCAGAGAGCATGACAAACGAGGCTTGTGCCAAGTTCTGCTCAAACTATAGGTACTTTGGCACTGAATATGGTGATGAGTGCTATTGCGGTAGCTTCCTCGAGAGCACCAGCGGAACTGCCCCTCTGGCTGATTGTAACATGCCCTGCGCTGGCAACCAGTTCGAATACTGTGGAGCCAGCAATCGCCTTGAACTTTATATAAATCCTAACATTACTGGTGGCTCGCCTGAACAGCCCGCTGCCGCCGGCGACTTTGTATTTGTCGGCTGCCAAACAGAGGGCAACGGCACCCGTGCCCTGACTGGTTCTGCCAGCGCTACAGGTACCATGTCGAATGAAGCCTGTGCCACGTTCTGCGATGATTTCACATACTTTGGCACCGAGTACGGCAGCGAATGTTACTGTGGAAACACTCTTGCTGCGTCTTCTTTGGTGGCTCCCGCGTCCGACTGCAACATGCTCTGCAGCGGCAACGATCTTGAGTACTGCGGCGCAGGTAACCGCCTGTCGCTCTACAAGAAGAAGCCCACTCAAATCACATAGACGGAATATAGCACTAGAAGGGGGTTGTTCTGAGGCTGTTCGAATCTTATAGAACTATGTTTGCAATCTGTTGTTTACTTATACCATTATGACTGCGGCGCCTATATGGGATCATTTGGATTCAAGGGATGGGCACTTTAGGATAGGATATAATGCACGCGATGTATGGGTGTTAAATTAAATACCAACACGAAGCTATGACCATGATGAAGCAAATACAGCAGCACTGATTTGGATAAATGCCATCGGATGTGATTGGGACGTGCTATTGCCTGAAGAAATCGTCGACTTTCAGTAAATGATGCCACTCCTGGAGGTGTCTTACTAGCGTCCATCAATTTAGCGCCTAATGGACGTTAGTGCAGCCGCAGCCCCGCGACGCGCTTTTACTTGTGACATTCATTCTCATCCCTCATTACATTTACTCGCAAAACCTCGTCCTTCTCTCCGTCCAGAATTGTACCTTTTCTGATTTTTGAATAAAAATGGCCGATACCACACCTGAGGATGATCGCGAGGTAAGATTAGAGGAATGACTATGCCCCTCTCACACGGATGAACCAAGCAAGCTCACTGCAGGATCCCAGCGCCTCAAATCCGCCCTCTGGTACGCCATAGGCCAAATCGTCGATGAAGAATCTCTGAAACGCAACCGCAATGCGACACCCCAGTTTATCGGTGCTTTGACAGAAATGGTGTGGGCACAAATTGGTACGTAAAACTTTGATCGAGGCTATCAGATTCTATCTACATGTAGATGGAGAGAAAGAGAAGAGACTCACATTTACGTTTTTTATTTCACAGAAAATGTCGCCATTGATCTAGAAACGTTCTGTAATCATGCTGGCAGGACGACCGTCACCACAGACGACGTGCTCTTACTGGCGCGGAAGAATCCGGATCTGCATGGGATCATGAAGGCATATGTAGATGGCATGAAGGCAGACAAAGAGGCTGCGGCGGGGAGTAGTAGTCGGACCAGTGGCGCGAAGAAGAGTAAGACGAAAAAGTAGTTTTCGTTTATTTTCCATGCTTTTCTTATAAGAAGCCTGGTTTTCTTCTACGTTTGTATGTGTGTATGAAACAGTTTGAAGAAGGGGAGAAAAAGGTAAGAACAGATTGAAATAATGTCTTCTCGGCCGATTTACTAATTGTTAGTTACTGGGACTGGCATTGGAGGAAGCACACCGATATGCTTCGAGTCATGGCTTTAATCACGGCCTATACGGCCGTTATCGTTGGAACGTCATTTAATCAGCAATCATGTCAACGTCAAACTTCTTTCTAATGATGGAGAAGCTTTCGACGCTAAATAAGCTCACCATGAAAACCATGCATGCGAGAGGAACTGGCACCAATGGCATTTCGAGTCTCAGCATATCTCTCCCTGATTTGGCGGGGACTCCGCTTCATCTTATGGTGGAGGACAATTAGTATCCACGAAGCAATTCTTGAGCAGGAATCATGCAGAAGGGAGTTTATGTGAAGAGGGCTTGGCCGTAAAAGGCGTCATATTCAGAGCATACATATGTGTATGTATATAGTATGTAATGAGGCTACAACCTCAAATCTCTAGCGTAGCTGAATTCAAGCGATATAACCAGGCACTACGCTAATTTTAGTCACCAGACGGTGCATAAAGAGTAATGAAGTCAAGGTTGAGTGCTACCAGACCAACCTACTATTATAACAGGACCAAAAAAAAATTAAAAAAAAAAAAATAAGTAAATAACAGGAGTGAAACAGGAACGCCTAGCCATCTTTAGATCAGTGTCTGTGCCTCGTACCCATGCCTCTCATGCTCCCAATTAAGATTAGAATACCGTTGCGCGATTCGCCGTCAAACCATGTTAAATAATTCGGCCATTATGTACATTTATCTTTATTAGTTGAAAGAGAATAGCCTAAAGCAGTACGCTAATACCAAGAACTCTAGTCTAAACATAATGTCATCTTGAGGCAGACCATTAAAAAAAGCAAAACTTCAGGGGGGAGTACAGTTCATTGATCCAGGGGCATAGAAAAAGAAAATATCTAGATCTAGTGTTTGAGATTAGATGAAGCAAATGCTCTAAAGTATGATATGCAAACGATTGCGAGCTGTTAAAGCGCAAGAAGCAGAGCATAGATGTAGAAGACGGACCTTGGATTGAGACTACCACTCCTACTACCACTACCACTACTAGATAGATACCTATGGTATTTCCACCGCCTCTGCGATTTCCACTACATGGACATCGGCTATTTCTACTACAGTAACTCCTGGTATAAGTAGGTAGTAGTGCTAGGTACGTGTAGGCACCAACAACTGGCGTTGCTACCATCGTATTGTGTGATGATACGGTCGATACCATACTCGGCGATGAAATTCATGCCAATGAGCATACCAGGTCGCAAATCCTTTTCAACCCATGCCACAGTGCGAGGAATTGCCCTGAATTTTTCAGTATGCCAGCCTCTCCTTCAGTGATGCACGGAGAGATGCTACCATCGATATGGGGATATAACCAAAACCATGCCTGGGTGTGAAGTCAACAAAGGAGAGGGAGCGTTTTCACTATTGTAGTAAGCGCAACGCTCGAATGGCCTCCTTTTGCCATATTGCTTGGCAGTGGGGCTCCTCTCGCTTCGCAGATGACCGTTTGAGAAGCAGAGCCGTCAGCTGAATGCATGCATCGGCATCACGGGTAGCTGCCGCTAAATCGAAGCATCAACACCCTCGTCAGATACATCTCAGGCAACGATACACCGCTGCGGGCTGCACACCATCTTGGTAAGATATTTGTACTACGGGGCATGGAGGGGCAGTGGTAATGCACAGGCCTCACAGGGAATGCTTGAGCAAGATTCTCACAGCCCTGGTAGACACCTCTTTTGGCATCAATGAAGCCTGAATTCATCGCCATCGTCGATAGCTCTGGGTAGCGGCTCAAAGTACTAGTGGTCTGCGCTAACAGCGATAATGCTGCGCTTCAGCCCTTTGGCACTGCAATCAGGTGGTTGCCCGCAGGCGTGGCGGGCGGAAGCGCTATCTAGTGGCGGGTTGGGATGTTGGGATGCGATTAGGGCGCATTTAGGGCGTTTTCGCCGCCCACAAGGCAGAGCCAGCGATCAATGATGTGCAGCTGGCGCGCTTCGAGTACACGCACCTACCAGAGGCACTTGCACAGGCTGTCGCGGGGGAAAAAAAAAAAAAAAAACGCTGCTGGGGCTTGCTCGAGGGCGCCAAGGGCCCTTACCTAACGCCTCCTGAGCAAATGAAAAGGCCTGCTCTCCGTCATCCTGCATCCTGCACGACCTGCCCTACGCCAATAGCTTTCGTCGTCCTGCACCTCAAGGGAAGAGGAAAAAAACCCTGTACACCCTTTTTTGCTTGCTCGCCCATATCACCACACTCTACAGATGCGCTACAGCACGGCATTGTCCACAACTCCAGCTTCGAACTCGCCGTTCCGACCGATGACCCATCCCGGCGTCCTTGACCAGAGCTGATAGCGACTCCGCTTGGCGTTCCATCCAACCTCGACATTCTCCCTCCCTCGCCTGCGAACCCGACCTACCTGTCCAATTTGTCCACGCCGTGCCACCGATTCCAAAGCTTCGCCTGCGTTCGAATTCACCCTTTGTGCGCACGTGCTGCTGCCACCGGCGTTTTTCTGTCTTCATATACCTGTATGAACCTTGATGTCCTATCTAGGATACATGGTCCTCGAGGAGTGAGTGCTTCATTCTTTGTTTTTGGCCAAGCGCGGCACTCCCATCACAGCCTGCTCCGGTTGCGCAACCCTCCAGCGTTTCGCATCTGCGAGATTGGCAGGCACTCTCGCAGCAGCAAGATATCTGAGCTGCCTGAGTATTTCATGTCCCCTCCCACCCCCCCGCCTGATGTTCACCGAATCGAGTTCTTCATGTGCTTACACGCTAGCATAGTCCCTCTTCGCAGCCAAGCCTCAGACCTTCTAAGACGAGCACATGTCCCCACAGCCTGGAGAGGATGTTTCTTCGCCGGATTCTATACGCCCAAGCGGCATCGCCAGCGTCTTCCGTGGCCTGACCGGCTCAAAGTCGACCAAATCTCCACCGCCGCTCTCGTCATCGACGGCGGCGCTCCCAAGAACCGACTTCAGCAATGCCGTGCCAATAAGCTCTCGCGGCCTATCCGCAAATCATATGGATGCTTTCGAGCTTTTGAAGCATGGCAGCCAATCCGAGCGTATCTCGGCTGCCAACACCCTCAAATTTGCCATTACCGAATACCCACTCAATCCAGTCCTTGAGATATGGTATGCCGCCAAGGATCTGATTGAACCGAATAAGCCAAATGCGATGCGACAGGCTGGCTGGGAGCTGTTGACGGAATGTGTCAAGCACTCTTCTTCAACAGACTTGGAGCGAAAAGAGTACTTTCAGACCGTGGCTGCTCCGGCCAATCCCGATGACTTCCATCTGCAGCTTGCCGCACTGGTAGACCTGACTAACCGCGGTAGAATACTGGCTGGATTTGACTATGAACTGCTTCCCCTCCTCACAAAGTGGCTTCATGATGCCTATAATGCTGCCCGTGCGGCGCGAAGAGCCTCCCAGGCCGCGCGTGGGCAAGGAAGCTCCAAGAACAAAGCCGTTGCGACTGGCGAAGATCAAAATTTCGCACAGCTCTTTGCCTTCATCCTGGATGTCATCAAATTCAACTTCAACCCCGCTGATGAAAAATCGATATCGGACCTAATTGATTGTCTGCTCGACGTTTGCATGAGTACTAGTGTTGTTGAAGATTTGCGTTCCTGTATATCTGTCATTGATGCCATTGTAACTTTTGGTTCCGTGCCCACCGGCAAACTCAAGAGCACGATCCAGGTCCTCAGCTCCATCTTCTGCCTCGTTCAGAACCTTAATGACGAGTCCTGGAATACGCTGTCGAACCTCTGCCTTTCGCACAATGGCCAGGCGTCAGTCCGTATTTTGCTCGACGTTCTTCGCAACCCGACGCCGAATGAAGTCAGCAGCAAGGACATGGGGCGCGACATCAGAGGTGCGCTCGCCGTCTTGGAGAAATTACTGTCCAAAACTAAGCAAGGCGGATATCCCCCTGTTCCATATGCGCTTCTGGTGGATGGCTTATCCAATACCCTCAGAATCTCATCGTCGGCAAGGATTTACTATGCCGTTCTTCAACTCATAAACTCTTTATTCAGCGATGAGAATGGGCAATTGCACCGCTTAATCCTCGAGGAGGATTGGTCAGGTCTGCTGGACACGGCGGCAGAATGCTATCGCAGGATCCAAGAGGCGACTGATCCGACGGCGGGCGACCGGCCAAGGGATGAGTCTATGGACAGTGCCGTCTATGAGGAGTTACAGCTACTTATCGCTCGGCTTGACGTGGTGGTGAAACAGAAATCGGGTGATTTTGTGCCCAGGCAAACGGTCATCAAGTTCTTCGCTAGTGTGCACCAACTTCTTCCCGATAAGGCGGCGTGTACTGTTCTTGACTATTTCCAAGAATTCAGATGCTGTTCTCCTTCAGATCTGCAATGGGAAGCCAATCTGGCTCTTGTACTTGATGGCTTTTTCAATAATCGGAATCGCTCGTCAGATACGCGGCTACGAGCTCTGCAAGGTATGATGGATGCTTACGAGATTGTTGATTTAGTGGGCGACGGAGATGAACAAAACTTTATTCCTCGCCTTGCCAACAGCATACTCCAAAATATTGCTGAGGAAGCAGACGTCTTAGTCTTGGACGCCGTCATATCGTTTATGACCTCAGTGGTTATTTCATGCGACATAGAGCTCTTTGACTTTGTTATCAATGCATTGCGAGCAATTGTAATCAGCAATCGATTAAAATCACCTATTGCATCGCCTACATCGCCTCTAGTACGGCCAGGTTCGTCGGAGACTGCTGAGCACACAAGGTCACCGGTAGAACAGTCACCGTCAAATGTTGTCACAAGGGGATATGTCCGGATGTTTATGCGGCTTATGAATTTCCACAACGATAAAAGCCAGAAGCTATTCAATGTGCTAGTCAGCATTGCAGCGCTAGATCATTGTGAAATAGATGCTCGACTGACAGCCATGAAGCTGCTTTTCAGGCTCCGCGCTGACTGGGCAAATCGAATCTTCATTACCAACAACAGCGTGGAAGCCATGTCTACTGCCACTGTTCTATTTCGCACAGAGAGTTCGCTAGCAAAAAAGCAAGCCGAAGAAGTAGCAAATATGGGTCGTCTGTCAAGAACTGATGCGACTATGTCATCTCGCACAGCACGCGGTGTATCCATTGGTCAAGGCCAAACCGGGAACAGGCAGTGTCAAATGTGGAAGTATCCAGACCCAGACGCATTGCCCGAAGCCGCCCCGTCCTTGAATAGCCCAATTCTCAGATCCCATATTCACGTTGAAGGTGAGACGAACGGTGAAGAGCATGTTACCGAAAGAACAGAGTATCAGCCCTGTGCTCTCGGTCTATCAGCCTGGCTGAGCACGGTGTTAAATATGCTCAAAGGATGCGACTGGGAGATATACAGCTTTGTCTTGGTGCATCTGCCATCGCAGCTGAGCAATCATGCTATCTTTAGAGATGCTATAAAGGAGATACAGGACCTTCGCCAAATGGTATGCGATCAGATTCGGCAGAACAGTTTCCAAGAGCCCCCCAATGCCTTGGGCCTACGCCGAGCTGATATAGCGATTTGCCTTTATCACAGTCTAACGATGATCCTCAGCTACCATGAGCACTTTAAGAAAACTGACGAAGACGAAATCGTCAAGGTGTTTGTCCATGGCATCTCTACCTGGGAAAGAAGCGCTAAGTGTTGCATTCACGCCTTGTCGATATGCTGTCACGAGTTGCCTCTTTCAACAAGCAGGTCGTTGCTCCAGATGCTGAACCAGATGGCAGCTATCATCACCCAGCCGTTTGTTTCAGTGCACATTTTGGAATTTCTTGCTTGCCTCAGCCGGTTGCACAATGTATACGTTAACTTCAGGGAAGACGAGTTTAGAATTGTCTTTGCAATTTGCTTCCGATACTTGGAGTATGCCAGAGAAAAGAAGCAGGTCCAGCAACGGAACAGTCACGTAGGCGAGCTACTAATGTCTGGCGGTTCAATCTCAGCTGCGTCAGATTCGTCGCAGCCCGCTCTTTCAGACGACCTTCCACAATACGTGCACGCCTTGGCCTATCATGTTATCCTGTTTTGGTTCTTGGCGCTCAAGTTGCCCGACCGTGTCAACCAAGTTGGTTGGATCGCCAAGAAACTGTTTGCAGATACGGATGGCCCTGTGCATGCCATGGATGATCACGCCGTCACGTCGATTGACTTTATGCAAAGGGTCACCTTTGCAGATGTTGATGAGTCGGCAGAAGATCCCTACTTCACCGAAGACCGTTTTGGCGACATTGCAATTAAACGGTGGCTAGTCGGAAACAGTATTGTCACTGTCAAGCAGGCCACATCATCTGGATGGGCTCAGATCATTAAGAGACAACCGTCAGGCACGTCGGCATACACCGTTCGTGAATCGTACCGGCCTCCTCCTCCTCATCAAATAGAGAATCATGTCGACATCACTAGAGAAGGCCAGCCAACGTCCAACTCAATCCTGCCCAGCCACTTATTGGTGCAACTTATGTCCCCGATTCCGCAATCGCACGACTCTGCAAGACCCATCCCCTTACCAGACGATGATGTCACTCAGAGAACCATCAGAGTCTTTGATCGTCTTTCCAGTCTGGATGGACACAAGGTTGGTGTAATTTATATAGGCGAAGGCCAGACTGAAGAAGCAGAGATCTTGGCAAACGTATCCGGGAGTGACGACTACCTTGAATTTCTCAATGGCCTTGGAACCTTGACTAAACTAAAAGGTGCAAACTTCAATACTCAGGGCTTGGATCGTGAATTCGACACCGATGGGGAGTATACATTCTGCTGGAGAGACAGGGTGACTGAGATTGTCTTTCATGTCACGACGCAAATGCCCACAAATCTGGAACGAGATTCGCTGTGTGTGGCAAAAAAGCGGCACATTGGCAATGACTTTGTGAATATTATCTTCAACGACTCTGGCCTTCCATTCAAATTCGACACTTTCCCCAGCCAGTTCAACTTTGTCAATATTGTCATCACGCCGGCGTCTCCAGCTTCATTCCTGGCCGCTAGGGAGGTGAATCCGGAGCAGAAGAAATTCTATACCGTGCAAGTGATGAGCAAGCCCGGATTTCCATCCATCTCGCCAGCATCCGACACTAAAATGGTCTCTCTGAAGGCTCTCCCGGCCTTCATCCGACTCCTTGCTTTGAATGCATCTGTTTTCTCTCATGTGTGGCATAACAGGGAAGAAGGTGAGCATATCAGCTCATGGACTGGCCGTCTCCGAGAAATCAAGCGGCTGCGAGAGAAGCATGGACCAAAACTCGGCTCTGTATCGTCAACTTCGCCGCCGACGCTTCTCACCAATTCAATGCCTATCCAGCCACAGCCTCTGCATCCATTCCAAGACGCCGCTCAGCAAAGTGGCAGCAGCGTACGAGATAGCTTCAACAGCTTGCGGAGAACAAGCGTGGCCACTTTCTTCACCAACACTAGCGAGCAGACATCTCATCGCTCGTCAATACTATCAACGGCCCAGACAAACGACACCGAAGTTGGCACGGTAAATGGCATTGACTCGCTCGTCGAATCAGTTGACTTTTCGAAATGGGCTTAAAGGAGTTGTACAGTTGGATTCATTTTCGACTACTTTGTTTTGGGCTACAAAACCCACTTAAATAATAGAGAAAGCAAAAGAAAAAAAAGAGCGGTTCGGACTGTGCTACACAGTCTGTTGCAGGGCGCGAGCCGTCATGTACTCGTATGGGCTTTTTTTTTTTTTTTTTTGTCTCGTTTTATTTTTCTCACTCCTCTTTTACGATGACGATTTGATATCAGAGAAGACTCTGATTTGGGAAGCGGTGGGCGTTAATACTATTAGGAGGGTGGAAAATCTATCTGGGTCTAAAAGTTTTGTCTCTCTTTCTCAGTTTTTTCCTCTATATCTCTTGTTTCTCTAAGTTGGTCTTTGTGTCTCTTTTGATCGAATGTCATTTGCTGTCTTTTCTACTCTATCTATATATAGGTACAAGTGCTTATACCAATTTACAAGGACGTATGTCATTTCGAGGACTTCTTCTTTACTGTGCCGCCGTGCAGTCATTTATCTATTTAATACCATAGTTACATCATTTATACACCTACATGTGCTCACTTTGACATTTTTCTCGACCCATATGCTCAAGTAAGATGTTATAAGATGTGCGCTACCGAAGCTATTCTAGCCTTACCCTTCTACGAGACAGCAACGTAGAAAAAGAACTTTTCTCCATAATACTCCACCAGACCATACTTCGCGGCGATACAACAATAAATCGTCGCAGCTACAACTAAGTAACCGACACAAGATATCGCCAAGCGACTATATCACATCTCTCTCCATACATCCCTGTATTGCATCCACTTTTGAAAACCTATGATAACGCAGTCAGGACTACCAAGATCAATCCAGACAATATTCGTAATTGCCTGCAGCGCGAAGACTCACCGAGCGGGATAATTTCTGCTTCTCCACGAGACACTCCGTCCAGGAACATGCCTGTCATGCCCCGTTGACTCAGCGCCCGGGAGCATGCAAATATGAGTTCAGTGAGTATTATCTCTCGGGAATTGTTCGCGTCTAATACGTCAATCATTAGTAATAGAACAAAATTGGCAAAGCATGCGAATCAACTTCTTTAATATTCCATGTAACATTACCCGTAAGGCAAAAGATAAAGGTGGGGAAGAACAGCTGAGGCTCACCTTTGATGCATATGCAAGTCACTCCTCCAATGCTATTGCTCAACGTTGCCGGCCAGGGTATATCAAGTGCCGCTGGACTCTGCTCGCCAGGCGTATAGATAACAGCAGTAGCCACTATTGTATCGTTTTCATAAGCAACTATGATATCGCCTATATACCCTTGCCTCAATGTCTGCGCATACAGATCATACCAGCCATGGCTGTGGGTACTTGTCGCAGGCTGGCGATCCTCGATACTCAAGACTTGCTCGGCATCGGAATCGACGCACTGCCTAAACCCCAGGCCAACGGAGTAAAGCGACATGCTTGGTAAATCCATGAATCGAAGAATCCAGTCTGCGACAAGGCTACCCTGGCCTCCGTGCCCTTGCGTGCTGACAGGCCAACCTCTTCTCTCGAACCACTGGTCCACATAATTCATCTCTACCGGCACGCCGCAGAGCAGTCGAGGAAATGTCGTCCCCAGGCGCAATCTTTGCACGCCCCTGACTCTCTGAAGCCTGCTCATGGCAGCGTCATGGAGAGATGAGCCAATTCCTCGTCCTCTATAGGCGGCGTGCACTATGACCGCGGCGATGGAGCCTACCAGAGCAACATCGAAACTGTCTGCGAAAGTAGCGTATGCCGCACAAAATCCGACCAATGATGCATTAACTGGGTCTCGCACAACGTAGTGCAATGCATAGCCATCTCTCTTCAGGAGAGGTCCCAGAGTTGCTGGGTTGAGATGAAACGGGTAGGGAAGGCATTGTTGCCAGAGCGCGCACGTTTCTAATAGGTCTCGTTCGGCAACCCAGGGCCGTACCGACCATGCAGATTCGACATCCAATATTTGATTCTGTCCAGATGCACTTGTACCAATGTTCGCATGCGGTGCTGTGAAGCCCACCCCGCCATCAAGAAACAGAGAAGCTGCGACTAGAAGCTCATGGTTGGCATACCCGGAGACATGTACTAGAGTCTGAAAATATGTACTGGGAATGTTGTGACCGGCAATATTACAGCAAGCAAGAATTATGAGCGGTCGAGACTCGCATATCTGTGCCACAAGCTCGGCAAACCCCAGCTGGAGCGGGAACCCAGGGCCGTCCAGATGGGTAATCACGAAGATAACGACCCTTGCTCTTCTAATGAATGCCAAATGAACACCAGTAATACCCTGGTTTTTGGTGTATGGGACATGCCGTATCGAGAAATCTCGACTAGAAAGCGATTGGCCGAATATCTCAAAAGGGTCCCTATTATCAGCTGGATCATTCCCAGCAGGGGGGACCACGACAGGGGTTATAAGAGCAATAGGTCCGTTCCAGCTGGGAATTCGAACGAGTGGGATGCAATTCTGGTAATCCCATACAACTGTGGCACTGGGCCTCTCTGAAACCTCGGAGGGGTAAAAGTTGGGTGTGTTTCCGCTAGGCCAGAACGCTCCAGTGGACATGTTGCCTCCTACAGCCAGTCGACTGGGGGAAACAGAAAGTTTTGAGCTCTTTGGATGCTACAGGCCTTGTGAGGATGACGCATGAGCATCACACGAGGCGAGTAAGTAGGATTTTTGGCTTGTATGGTGACTGAATCAACTGATACCACAATATGAGTCGTGAAACAAAGTGTGGACAGAAGACCGCCGCTCTTGCAATGCAAAAACACTTCAACAGCAGGTAATATTTGCTTCCGCAGCTCCAAATTAGGTAGCAACCAGGGCTTGCGACCTGGTAGTAACATAAATAATATAAACAAAGGTATAATAAATAAATTGGGGGCAAAATCGCCTTGGAAGGTGTTATGTCTTATCAGAAATCAAAATACGTGGATTGATCTTTCATGTCCAAAGCTCCTTCTCGTACAGCAGCGGTTACAATGAATAAGGACAGGGCTTGCACTTCCAGGCTCCATAATTCCAAATGATTCAGCATGCGATAGATGTAGCCCTAATATTGCTTAGGGTTCAACGGTTGGGCTGGACAAGGGGCAAGTCCGATTCGATGGATACAAAAGATTCTCACGGCAAGGAAAGACAAGGGGCAAGAAATGTAGGGATGACCTCCGCGTGGGGGTTTAGTAGGATTGACCATGGGCACAATTACACAATTACACCTCACCTCAAGCACACCCAGCATAAGCTGTGGCAAAACTTGCACGCCTGGTCCACCATTAACCAGAGGATTTGGCCATTTGTGGCCATTAGACGAGACGGGACTGAGAGGCGACTATCACTGTGTGAAATCCCGCAACTTTTGTAAATCTTGCTTCGCTGGCCCTGGCCCTGGCACAACGAATATCGGGCTATCGAAATAGGGAAAGGGGGAGGAAGCTTTGGCCGAAAGTGGCAAAGGCGGGAGATGCATCGTAAAAGTGGCCAATAAGTCGAAGCAAACAGTAAAGTATGGAGGGCATTATGGTCACAAGGCGTCCAAAAGCAAACAGAGACAAGTATCAGGGGGCCACTTGACCCAATAAACCACAGAGAAGGCTCATATGAAAGATGACCGGAAATTCCAGTGCACCAAACGAGCTGTACCCTTGCCTGAACATGGCTAAGCCGGCATATTGCCGTGTTGTGAAGCAGGCAATGCTACCAAAGATGCAAAGTACATAAGGCATAAGGCGCAGTGTAAGTAAGGCTGATGACCAATCCTGGCTCGATCGAGAGGATGGGGCCAAGGCTATTCTAGGAAGCCATTCACTGCCAAAGACGTAGCATTCACTTGGATAGAGCTTTACAGGCCTGCCCAATTGCCGTCGAATACCCATCGCGCCTTTGTTGTCTCACCGTCACAGCAGTTTCATGCGGTGTAGCAATTTGTATAAGAAGAATATCTCATTTTGAGGTGGCTCTACCCACATGCGATATGATTGCCAATAAGACAATATCGAGCAGGCAAGCAAAGAGACACGCGGACTCTCGTATGATGTTGGCCAGCCCAATCGGACTCGAGCCATATTGCGTTGGGCATACACGAGCCATTCAAGAAAAAGGGTCTTCCGATGGGTGTAGTGGCCAAGTAATAGACTGTTTCTGGGCTGCGCCATGCAATGCGATGCAAATTTGTTTGCTTGTTTGTGTGATGCATGTACAAGACTGAGTCGTGGGCAGCGCAATGGCGGGGACATTTTCGGCTAGCGCTGGTTTAATATGCCGGAATGATGGGGCCGGTCGCCGGCAAGGGAAGGGCTGCGGGAGAGCTTCAAGGATCGGCGAGTAGTGCCGCTTGTGGCAGCCAGTACATGCCTACTTGGCGATGCATCTATACCGGGGCTAATGGGAAGATGTCAGCCGGCGAGATGGGGCAGAGAGCATCATGGTAACAAGGACAAAGAGAGACATGAAGATAGCAAGGGTGGTAAAATTTAGAAGCTGCTCAGTAGCAACTTGGTGACGAGTACCTACTATGCCTACCATACTTACAGCAGTAGCACCTTGAATAGTTTAGGGTATGCGAGACGCTCTACCGAATACCTACTTCTCTTATAGGTTCCTTGTAAAGGAGACTTTGCTTCATGAGGAGTCGGATTCAGAGAGTCAAGACACTAGGACCATCCCCTAAAAGCATCATTTGCCAAAGAGAGTAATAAAGTGAGCTACTTAATCCTGCGCCTGTTTGCTAGCAGTAGGTTCACAGTAGTATTCGCTAACTGATATTTACCTACTACCTATCCTCTGCCTCCTACAGTAGGGTGAAGTAGTTTGCGGGAATTCAGTGACGATGTTGCAAATACGCAACCTCCGAAATATTCCCCGTTAAAACCTTGAATTGCAAGGCAATTACAGACCGAGACCAGACCACCCAATTGTATGGAGCGGCTTCTTCAGAGCCTATGCTGGTGCCCAATTTGAGTTGCCAAGCCCATTATTATTATAGCCCGGTGATACATATGGCGGGCAGTGGCGGTTTTTACCATTACAGGCAGGTAAATCCTCACTGATGGGCACGAGGACGAGATCTGATACCTCACATGCGTGCATAATGGAAGCTGTACCTGCAGTAGCCCAATGGCACAGCACCACGGCCTGCTACGTCGTGACCATCGAGGCCTACGACGCTTATGATGGAGCGAAACGGTGATTTCCTGCATATTCGTGCAGCGGCTAAAACCCAGAGGAGACAGTCTTGCCCAAGTTCCTCATGCCTCGCATATCCCACATCCTGATATGACACCTCGGGATTGAAGCCGGAATGCAAGCTTGCATGGAAGAGCCAGCCTTCACATCTATGCTGCACTGTGCGAAATACTGGTGATAGACTATAGAGGTTTTGGATTTCACTCCGGTCTGAGGCCCGCATCAGAAACGCCTACAGTGCGGAGGACTGTGACACGACAGAGATGCAATGCTGCTGCTAGCTCGACGCAGGACAACTCGCTGCTTCTCGCTCCATATTGGCCCAGTAGAACTCGGCCCATCCAGGCCTCAATCAATCCCTTACACACGCTGCATCTTATCCACACACACACACAGTTGTTACTATTTCTGCTCTCCTATTTAACTGCATCCAAGTTGCAGGTGTCTACTGAGCCTCTGGCCCGGCGTAGACCTGCACACGCTAGATGGCTTCTCCACAGGCCATGCAACTAACTACCTAGTAAGCGCTCAAACAAGAAATTCATCTCGGCGACGGTATCGCCATTCTGGCTGGGCACGACTCAACAAGACGCCGAACAGCGGGCCAGATCAAAACGTGGCATCCTTGTTTTTGTCTCTTTTTTATGGAAATCCTCTTCACTGGCTGCAACAGCTGCAGGATGAAAAATTGGCAACTGCGCTGCCTTGTTTTCTGATTCGTTTTGGCGATTGACGCGCCACAGCGTGTTTTGCAACCAATCTGGGGTCTTGCATTCTCCCACCATCGCCATAGTGCTCAATTCCCCCTTTTCTCTTTCTGTCACTGCATGACGAGGATATGTCGTCTCCTGCGGCTGAGGAAATCGACGCACTCATTCGCGATGTGGCTGCGGGTGAGCGGGCCAATATGCCCCCTTTGGTGTAGCATTTACTTACCGCATGTTAGCTTCCAAGTTGCCAGCCAAGTCCCGAATGGGAGATGTCAGGCCTACAGTAGCAAGCCTGACATCTTTGGCGTACGAAAATGGCTTGTTGCCGGAAGCACTTGATCAGCTTGTTGATCTGGTTGTTACGCCCAGCCACCTTGACCAGGCTAGTCGCGCTGCCATAGTCAGAAATCTATATCCTGTCTCCAGAGTATCCCGCGATATTGCCATTCGTGTTATTGGTGCTCTTGGCCATGGAGCACTTAAGCCTTCGCTCAACATCCAGGTAGCACTTCTAAAATGGCTCATCATGATCCACCACGTGCTGGAAACCCCAGCCGTGCTCGCTCAAGCTTATGGTGTTCTCTTTAATTTGCTCAATACAGCGGCGATTCGGCCAAATCTCTGCCATTTATTGGCACTTATCACACGAAGAAAACATGTTAGACCTTTTAGGATCCAGGCTCTGTGAGTATCTCATGAGAAGGATTCAAAAAAGCTCAAAAACTGACTAGATTGTTAGCTTGAACTTATCACGACAGACAGCCAATGATCCTTATTTAATCGGCCTTCTCAGAGTCTATAAGGATTATTATCCTGAAATCATATTGGGAGAGTTAGTTCGTGGCAGGGCTTCAGCGTTCAAGGTTGGTTAAATGGCAATAGCACGGATACAAGTTGAGCTAAACTAATATTGCCTCAGCATCCGGATATATCATGGAAAGAAAGGCTCCAAGAAGTCCAAGAGGCTTATGCTCTGCAAGCAGAGAAGAATTCACAGGCCGTTCTCGATGGCTTCCGGGTTAATCGCCCCACCGGCCGCGGCCAAGGAAACAGAGCTGTACCGGCCGTCCACACGTCTCATGCCACAGAGGTAATATGGCCATGACCTCCAAGGCCCATTCATATGCTAACATTACTCCAGAATTCTGTTACTTTGGAAGAAGTCGAAAACATCACAGGCTTTGTACAGAATATTGACAGGATAGAGCTGCCTAACCAACTTGTGGCCGTCCTCGCTGATCCCTTGCTGCAGAAGCTACTGCTTGTGCGTCCAAACGCAGAGGCTTATCAACGGGTAGCGAACTGGCTCAATTCAGTTCTGCAAAATGTCATTGATGGCGATACTGATGAAGCCGTGCTCTGGGAAGTTTTGGGTGTTGTGAGAGAATTTGTTGTGCAAAGTAAAGTAAGTCAGAGCTCTCGCAGGCACATAGACCAGCTGTCTATCTTCATGGCCGGTGCTGATATATGACTATAGTCTATACCTCCCGTTATCCTTAGCTTTTTTGCTATATTTTTCCAGCAATGGAATGGATCTAGCCAGCATGATTCCATTCTACAGATTTTGTCGTTTGCTCCTCTTGTGGAGTTCCAAGGCAAGTATTCGCTCTTCTCGGAAATATATTTCTGGCTCTCAACGTATATATAAGCTAACTCTTCCACTTAGAACTGTATCAACGTATCTTGCAACCGTTAGAGCTAGCTATCTTAGATAATACGCCAGGCTCTCAGGTTGAAATTTTAGGTCTATATTCCAACATACTCCGCCACTGGACTGCCATATTACAATCGAGCGATCTAATTCCGACCCATGCAAATGCAAGCGTCACGGCGTTGATACGCCATACCGGGCGACTCAGCCTCACTCTTCTACAAACCTCTCCCATAGAGTCGGTGAATATTGCCATCATCGAGTTCTATGAACAGGCGATCCACCTCGTTAATGACGACTCTCTCAAGTACTATATACGGATTGAACTGCCACCCTCGGAGCTGATTTATACATTCTTGTTCAGCAGCTCTGTGGCCACCATGTCCCGCTTATGTGGCATCTTGGCATGTTACAAAAAAGGCTTCGAAATGGCCATGTCGACAAAGGCCAGAAACGATGGCTCTAATCTGATCGACGCTCTCTCCTATGACAGAGCCTACGTGAATCTATACAACGGGTATCTCATGGATATCTGTAACTGCTTCTGGCGAAGTAGAGCCTTTAGCGATGCGGATACCAATTCTCATGGCTGCCTGGTGCCGCGGCCTACCGTGTCTAGCCTCACGGCATATGTATCTTCAGTGGACAAAACGTTCTCTCTGCCTTCACTTCTTACTCTATCATATTCGCCTGTACTCTGTTTTCAGAGCATTCGCTCGGTGCGAGATCTTGAAGATGCCGCTATAGGAAGTAGCAGTAGCGCCATTAGGACAAGGCATGCTGGGCCTGTGACACAAAACAGTCTTTCGAAATTAGCTGTCGCGGGAGGTATACAGCTTTCCTGGCAAGACTATCGTATCGAAGTTTTGAGATCACTTGCGGAAAAGAATCTTGGTGGCATAGCTGAGCTCTTGAAAAACACAATGACAGTGCTGAAGAACTCAATGGATGCAACACCGCGAGCACGGGCAAAAATGTCCATCTAGCTGAAGACGAAGTTAGAGAGAAAGAAAAATATTGCAACTTCTTATGGTGGCTATATATTGATTAGGTCTAGTTGAAACAGACCAGCTGCCTATATCCCATCGGTTGAAATTCAGGGTATCATCAAAAAAAGAAACAAGCAGAAAGAGGATGAGAGAAAAGAAAAAGAGAAGTAAATGCGATTTATCCATCAGCTATCCCATCCCAGAGTGTTGAAAACAGAATGAAACTAGAATCCGGCTGTGAAGGCAGAGTTGAGGCCTGCCCCTCCGCCAAATAGCCAACGCCATGCACCGTTGAATGCTGTGCTCACCGACCGTTTATGACAACAAAAGAAAGATCAGCCTCATGCATCGTCCGATAAGCCGTTGAAGGCATCACCTCCAAAGAAATGTTTCTCCGTGGATTGAGAAAACTCGTGCTTTAAGCAATGTTCTCTTAGTTCTCCCTTTGCTTGGACTCATCGCCATATCCTCCAATCTTGATAGCACCAAAACCATAAGTTTTGCCTTCAGGAGCTCGGTTTACCTGGCTTCTCGGCCCTCTCTCCTTCAGGTCGTCCCTCAACCAACCCATGACCAACTCTCCGAGACGGCTGTTGCCAGTGGGCCCAACAGTCGAATCAACGGCCTGCAGCATGTTTTCAGCAGTGTCCCACTCCTTGACAGTGCCGAGATGCATGTGGACGAGGTGGGTAGGCCAGCCAGCCAAGTTATCCAAGATGTGGGTGGCATAAACGATGGTGCACTCCCGGTTCTCCGTCTCCCGCTTCAGCCAGGCAAGGAACTCATAGCGAGTCAAAACATCAAGGTCGACAGTGATCTCATCCAAGAAGAGCACGGTCCAGGGACGCAGAAGACCCATAGCCAGCTGGACTCTGCGACGCTCACCGTCGGATACGGCATGCATCCGCCAGTTGATGTCGATATCAAGCATGTCGACCAGCTCGTCACGGCGCTCAGGGTAAGCATCACCGCCAACAGATCGAAGCAACTCTACGACGCCAATATCGTTGCGTACGATGGGGTTTAGCACCCACTCGAGACCGAGGTATGTGACGCCTTCGAGGCCCTCTTTGAAGGGATCGACGCCACAGATGGAAATGGCATCTCCCGGGGCCAGGCGCTTTCCAGCCAGAAGACGCAAAAGGGTCGTCTTGCCGGCACCGTTGGCACCAATCAGAAGAGTTCGTGAGCGTGGAGGCAGATCAAGAGAGATGTCCTGTACGCCTGTGGAAAAGTCCGGAAAGGTGTAGGAAAGACTCCGGGTCACGATTTGAGGTGGATTCTGCTGCTGAGTCGGCATGTTGGCGGTTTACCGGTGGTTTTGCAATGAATGAGGTGATGGAAGATATGGGGTATGATATGATATGATATGATATGATGTGTGTATGTAAGAGTAACAAAGAGAGAAGAGTGAGTCTACCTAACAGATTTGCTACCGCTTCAAATACCCAGTAATGACAACCCCACTGGCGAAGTTTTCTAGCGCCCAGCGTCGTCTTTTCTCGGCTTCTTGGAGTGGGATCACACTTTCTCATCTATGGTGGGGGAGGGGTCGTATTTTACGGAGCACTCCGTACGACATTCAATTCATGCCGGAATTGAACAGGCCACCCCGGAGCACGCCGCTGAGAGCAGTATTACATAGGCCTACTGTATGCAAAGAGATGGCAGGGGTCCTGTAAGGCGCTGGCTTAGCGGCCAAATCGAGCTTACAGTGGGCTACTTCAATGGATGAGACCGCTACAAGTATAATTATGTACTCTTATTTCGGGTTCAGTCGCTTTTGTGGTGAGGATGGTCACTAAGGCACAAGCTAGCTACTTGGTGTGTGACCTCGCGTGTCCGACGCGGGGGCAGCGCAAAAAAAGTCCCGGCAAAAGCGCGTTGAGCTGCCACCACCACGAGAGCTAAAGTGATCTACCTAAAGCCTGCTCACGATAGGCACTAGATGTTAAGCGTTCGAACAATCAATCTGCGACCAAACCACATTACACGTATTCAAAGAAGCACGACTGCGGCCTAACTTAGCATACCCTTCGAATCAAAATCTCAGTCCACCAAAGCTTCGGCCGTAGCTGCTGACAGCCGCCGTCATGGTCAAGCTCGAAGATGTCTCTAGTCTCTTGCAGACGCCCGCGTATGTCCTCGCCCTCTAGCCTGCCAACCTCAATTCTAACGCTGATACAAGGGATCTCTCTCAGAAAGCGCCCATCCGAGCAGAGTCAGCCTACAAGCCGCTGCACTCCTTCGCCCTAGAGAAGCAGCGGTCCTACAAGCAGCAGTTTGGCGATATGTACTTCCTGCGACTCACCAAGATCAAGCCCGCGGTAGAAGAGGTGGCTGCAAAGGCATGGGACGGCACAGAGATTGGTGGCGAGCGAGCTACGAGGGTTGAAAGAGTGCTTGATGTTCGGCAGGGCGAATTGTGCTGGGTTGCAGGAACGGTTTACATGGACATGCGGCTAAAGCCCAACATCCTCGAGGATGTGTCCAAGGATGTGAGTATTCCCTCTCTTCAGCCAAGATGTGCCTATATTCGCCATGTTAAAAAAAAAAAAAAAAAAAAAAAAAGGGCGGGTATACGGGCTATGTTGGTGACGATACGATACTAACTATCAATCTGTCAAATTGCTAGCGTTGGCTATCTGCGCCCATCTCCTCGCAAAAATACTACTCCGACGACGGCTCCGATCAAATCATGCTGGAAGACGATTCAGGTCGTGTTCGCTTAGTCGGCGACTTGCTCAACAATATCCCACTTGTGACTGGCTGCATCATTGCCGTTATGGGCACCGAGAATACAAACGGCGAGTTCGAGGTCATTGACCTCAAGGTTCCCGATTTGGCCCCTCAGCCAGAGCGTTGGACTCTCTCCAAACCATCCTCCGCGAGCAGCAAGCCCGAAGGCGAGGATACAGAAATGACAGATAGTCCTTCTCAGAGCGGCGGCAAGAAGATTGCCATCGTATCGGGATTGTCCTTCTCCGGCACCGATGCCTCATATGATCTTGAGCTGGATCTTCTGTTGGAATATTTGCTTGGAGAGGCACTCGGACCCGACGAGCAGACCAATGTTTCACAAATCAGCAGGCTTATCATCGCTGGTAATTCTATTTCCACCACCAAAGAGAAGGAAGATGATGAAGGCGGCGAAGAGGAAGACGACAAGAAGGCAGTGCAGAAGAAATACGGCTACGATGCCAGCGCTTATAACCCCGTGCCATCCCAGCTCTTTGACCAATTTGTCTCGGAGCTGTTGCCTTCCATCCCCGTCACCCTCCTCCCCGGTGCCCAGGACCCCGCCAACGCAAGCTATCCTCAGCAACCCGTTCATAGCGCCATGTTCCCCCTTTCTCGGGCCTATGCATCGGAGCCCGGCGTAAAAGCAACATCACAACCTGGGTGGTTCGATCCTGTGACGAATCCCTGGGAAGCAGAAGTCGAAGGCTGGAGGATATTAGGCACAGGTGGCCAAAACGTGGACGATGTGTTCAAATATGTCGAGAGCGACGACCGATTGGGCATGATGGAGGCTATGTGCAGGTGGAGGTGCTGTGCTCCCACTGCGCCCGATACACTATGTACGTCTCCTTCCCCCTACCCCCTACCCCTTTATCTTGATGCGTCTCTGTTTCTTCTCCAGCAATACTTTGTTACTAATGAATTCACACTAGGGAGTTATCCATTCCAAGAAGACGACCCTTTTGTCCTCAAAACCTGCCCCCACGTCTACTTTGTCGGCTGTCAGCCCGAGTTTGCAACCAAAGTCATTCATGGCCCCGAAGGCCAAAGTGTTCGACTCATTGCTGTGCCGTCGTTTTCGAAAACGAAGGAATTTGTGTTGATGGATACGGAAACCTTGGAAGTGACGAGAGTAAAGATTGCGTCAAGATGAAATGTGTGATGAAGATAGAATCACGAGATATGTATCTGTATATCTCGATACATACGAAATATTAATAAAGCTACAACGAGAATATATATGGCATAGATCATTTTAAAGAGTCTTCCTATGTATATAGGTACATGTAGTCTTATTTTATCCATTAATAGCTGTTGGCTTAGCGCCGAGAGCTGACGATGCACTGCGCAGCAACTAAATACCACTAACCTCCTATACCTAGGTAGGTACTACGTAGTCTCTCTTTATATTGTTCAACTTCGCCGTACAACTGCATGAGGGTTGTGGAGAGCCTTGCCGTATTCAGATAGAAGAAGGCAGAGGATAGTAATCTACAGCCAATTCTGACGGTCCTTTCCAGCATGCATTGGAGACCACATTTGCAGCGTCAAACGAGCTTCATCGCAGCTTGATCCACGCCCGCAGCCGCAGCCGCCCCGCCGTCTCAGAGCTAGCAGGGCCGTGACAAAGCTCCAACCCCACTAGAGCCTTGCTGCCAGCAGGAACGAGGCAACCTCCAAAAAAAGTCAACGCGAACCAAACATACCTGCCACCAATACAAACACCACCTTGGACGTGCGCCTCGACGCCCTTCGCCACTCTCTGTCCCGTCACCATAGCGCACCCATTCACGCCTCGCATCCGACGCGAACAGAACTCACGATGGCGGCCGATGTTGGCCACATTGCACAGCTGCTGCAGGCAACGCTTGATCCTGCTCAGCACCGCACAGGTATGTTGCGCTTCTCTCCATTGCCCCGCCTTCGGTGCAAACGCGAAGCACGAGAAGAGCCCAAATCACGCCTGCAGAGGCCACCGTGTACTAACGAGCGTCGAACAACTCTAGCCGAGGCTGCTCTCAAGCAGGAGGCGGCCAAGCCTCAGTACTCACTGACGCTGCTCACCATTGTCAGCAACGACGCTCTACCCATCAACACTCGCCTGGGTGCTGCCTTGGCCTTCAAGAACTTCATCCGAATCAACTATGTGGTAAGTCACGATGCCATACCATGCCACCGACGCGATTGCGATCCTCGCCAACTCGTCTGCGACACATGACCTTCGAGATGCTAAGACTAGTACGTGTAGGACGCGGATGGAAACTACAAGATCCCTCAGGACGAGGTCCAGACAATCAAAGAGCGCCTCATTGGGCTGATGATCGCTCCTCCCGCCAATATCCAGAGCCAGCTGGGTGAGGCTGTCAGTATCATTGCCGATTCGGACTTCTGGGAGCGATGGGACACCCTAACCCAGGTAGCTATCTTCCAATGCGAGCTTGATGAGCCCGTTATGTACTGATAGTATGGTAAACAGGACCTTGTCAGCCGTTTCTCCGCCACCGATCCCAAGGTGAACATTGGTGTGCTGGAGGTAGCCCATTCCATTTTCGTTCGATGGAGGCCACTCATGAGAACGACCGCTCTGTATACAGAAATTAACCATGTGATCAACACATTTGGCGGTCCTTTCTTCCAGTTGTTAGCGGTAAGAGCAGTTCCAGCTGATTTTGTTTCCTTTCCACAATTCAATCATCCCTCCTCGTTAGATCCGACGCTAATGGCAGCTCGTATGAAATATAGACTACCGACAGCAAAATCACCGAGCATGCGCACGATAAGGCGGCTCTTCAGGGCTGGTTCGAGGTTCTAAGCTTACAGCTGAAAATCATGTTCGACATGTCCTGCCACGATCTGCCTCCTGTTTTCGAAGAAAACCTCTCCAGCATCTCCGAGCTGCTTCACAAGTATCTGAATTATTCTAATTCCATCCTGAATACCGACGACGATGACGAAGTCAGCGTTGTCGATACTGCCAAGGCCGACATTTGCGACTTCCTCGAGCTCTACACCTTCAAATATGACGCAGATTTCTCTCAATACTGCAAGCCATTCATCACAAGCACTTGGAATCTGGTGTCATCCATTGGATCAGAGACAAAATACGACACCCTTGTTAGCAAGTCGTTGCACTTCTTGGCGGCGGTCGCGGCAACTCGGGAGCATTCCGAGCTCTTCAACAACGAAGAAGTCCTCACACAGATTATTGAAAAGGTCATTTTACCCAACGTTAGCTTGCGAGAGTCTGATATCGAACTGTTTGAAGATGAGCCGATTGAATATATCCGCCGAGACTTGGAGGGCTCTGATACAGGATCTCGACGCAGATCAGCTACCGACTTCCTCCGCAGTCTGCAAGAGAAATTCGAGGCCCCCGTCACTAGCTCTGTTTCCAGGTACATCAACCATTATCTCACCCAAGGAAAATCCGATTGGAAGTCCAAAGACACCGCGGTCTACTTGTTCATCTCAATTGCCGCCAAGGGTGCCGTCACACAGGCTCAAGGTGTCAAGACCGTCAACCCCCTTGTCAACGTTGTCGACTTCTTTGAGCAGCACATTGCATCTGACCTGGTGAATGGAGAGGGTATTCAGCCAATCTCTAAAGTTGACGCAATCAAATTCCTCTACACCTTCCGCAGCCAGTTGTCCAAGGAGCAGTGGAAAGTGGCTATTGGCCCATTGATCCAGAACCTTAACTCGTCCAACTATGTTGTATATACCTACGCGGCCATTGCCGTGGAGCGCGTGCTGTTTTTGACAGACGATGCGGGTAATGCGATGTTTCCCCGCGCGGACATTGAGCCATTCGCAAAGGATCTGCTCAACCATCTTTTCAAGCTGATAGAAAGGGAGACCAGCGCTCCCAAGCTGCAAGAAAACGAATTCTTGATGCGATGCGTGATGAGAATTCTCATTGTCATCAAGGATGGAGCGGGGCCTTGGCTCGATACCATCCTTACACACCTCATTCTCATCACAAATGTGATGAAGTCTAACCCTAGCAACCCTCGCTTTTACTACTATCACTTTGAGGCTCTCGGCGCTCTGGTACGATACTGTGCCGCGACGCATGCCGCTGCAATTAATCAGAAGCTATGGGAACCAGCACATCAAATCCTGGTGGAAGATGTTACGGGTAGGCTTATTCTCTTCTAGATACCCTTGGTGATGAAATTTCTTGAACTAACAATCCATCGGTAGAGTTCATCCCGTACATTTTCCAGATCTTGGCGCAGCTCCTCGAGTCAAGCCCAGTGGATTCCGTCTCTGACAATTACAAGGCGCTTCTTGCCCCTCTACTGCAGCCTCCTTTGTGGGAAACCAGGGGCAACATCCCTGCCTGCACACGACTACTGGCCGCCCTTATCCCCAGGGTAGCCAAGGCAATTGTTACTGAGAACCAGACTGAGGCCGTTCTTGGAATTTTCCAAAGATTACTTAGCGGAAAGAAGTCAGAGCTCCATGCTTTTGATATTCTCGAGGCTATTGTCAATTCTTTTGAGCCGTGAGTTGATGATGAATGAATCTTGAGTGTTCTAATGCTAATTTCTCTTTCTCTCCTAAGATCGGCCCTTGACCCGTACTTTGACACCATTCTCAGGCTGATTTTTACAAAGCTACAAGGATCTCCGGCTGATTCTTTCAAGATCCGCTTCGTTCGATTTTTCCATCTCGTTGCGGCGAAGTTGGAAGCTGGCTATGGAACAGATTACTTCGTCAAGTATTCTGATAAGGTGGACGAGAAGGTCTTTGCCCAAGTTTATCCTCCATTTATCCTGCAAGAAACAGACAAATTGGCAAGGCCCGTTGACCGGAAGGCTGCCGTGGTCTCCCTGACTAAAACGCTGTGCGACTCTCAAGTGTTCGCTACCAAGTTCGCCAAGGGCTGGGGAAATACTTGCAGGATTCTTCTCACTCTGCTAGCAAACCCCCCAAGCGCTGCCGCTGGTGTCGGAGACGAAATCGTGAACGAAAACTCTCCCGATGATATCGGATTTGGATTGACATTCACAGCTCTTAATACGTGCAAACTTGCTGCGCGAGATGACTTCCCCGAAGTGCAAGATGTGACTACTTGGGTCAAGCAGTACATGGTTGAGGCTAACCAGAGACATGGCGGCGCTATTGAAGGCTTTATCTCGCAGCGTCTTACGCCCGAGCTGCAGGAGGCCATTGCTCATTACATTCGATAAAATCGACAATTTAGAAGACAAGCATACCAAAGAAAGAGCCGTACTTTCTATAATTGGTGAAATATTATGAAATTTATGAAGAAAAGAGAGAAAAACCAGGCCACACCAGGAACCAGAACATGGGGATGGAGCGGCTAGCAAGGGACGGAGAAAGTGATAAGCGATATTAAATAACGAAGAGGCAAAATGAGGAAAGCTAGTGGATAGATACACTGAAATTACATAGGTATGTAGTCTAGTAGATAGTAATTGATATCCGCGCCGAAATATGTCGGGGCGAGAAAAGAATCATCAGTAATTGGAACACGTCAGGAGAAGAAAAAGCCAATGAGAGGACGCAGATGCAGTTTGTTACATAGTATTGATTGTATTTCCTTTTAATGATAGCTATTTATCAAAAGAATTCAGTAACGTACAAGAGACTACTAATAAGTCACTACGTCATCTCTTTCGTCTCATCTCATGATTTCAAAACCATGTACTTGAAAACTGTATGCTTGCCCATCGTAGTCACCATAAATACGTTTTTCCCTCTCCGGCGCTGGAGCGCAGAAAAGACTAAAAGACTAAAGAAAGAAAGAAAGAAAGAAAGAATATGAGAATATCTAATAAACACCGTAAAATCTTATCTTGAAAAAAAAAAAAAAAAGAAAAAGAAATAGAACCGCCTCTCCCATTGAAAAGGGAGGGGAAAGAGAGAAAGAAATGGGAAGAGTAAAAAAAAAGGGGGTGGATAAAAAAACTTGTACACTCTCCCAAGATAAAACCAGCGCCGGAGTCATGCTAAGGCTAAACAGTCCTCGTCGTAATGCGTCGTAGTGATGCTAATAGTAAAATGATGTATGTCGTTATGTAGAGGCGATATTAATAAAAGTAGGGTAAAACAGGAGAATCTCGCCCAGGCGAAGTGAGCCAGGTATGCCTGCATTTCGAAATCTGCTCCTTGGGTTTGGCTTTCTCCTCTAAGAAATGTGCCGCTTAGTTTCACAAGAAAAAACAAACGCTGATGAGTGAAAGTCGTTGGAGATATTAGTCGGCAGAGAATGGTAAAGTGAAAGAGACAGCCAACATATGTTGCACAGGTAGGCAATAATCTACCAGGCGCGCTTAAAGAAATCCGCCCTCGGGGCCGACGCCGACAACACTGTTGCGCCAAGGGCAGCGTCGATCTTGCGTCTGCCATTCTTGGCTTCTAGGCGGGGGAACGGTATCCCTATGGCTCATATTGGGTCGCCGTACGCTGGAGGGAAGCGGCTCTGCTCCAACACTGCCTCGGCGGCTATCTCCGCTGCTGTTGGTCTGGACTACCAGTAAGCTGCTGGTGCTCGAGAGCCTTCTGGTAAATTCAGAGAAACTCAACCTTTTGGAGCTCGCGCCAGATCGGCGATTTTCCGAGTCTCCGCTCTGTGACGCATTATCGTTGGCGGCCATGCCTGCAGAAATCGGATTCAAATGAGGCGTGCTCTGGGTCCTCTGCGTTGGATTGAGGCGACTTTTGGCATGAGCTGTGTGAGGCCTTGAAGGCGGGGATTGAGATGCCGACGCCGACGCCATCGTATCGACATGGAAACTCAGGTGAGCCCTGGACATCGTGGGACGTCGTGATCCGCGTTCTCTGGGTGATTCGCCGTGTCGATCTGCGATAAAGGCTAAAGCTCGTTGAGCTGAAGGGGAAATAATCGGGCTCCTATCATAGCCGCTCTCTTGTTCATCCGCTGAGTGCGCGTTGTCATCGGAGTCGAGCTCCTCGTTATAGTCAAGATGTGCTCCTGCTTCAGGATTGTACGTGTTGCGTACCGCCGCTCGCTCCAGGCGCTGGGCAGCCTCTCTCTGTTTCCGCTTGTCGTCTACTTCGCGCATGAGAGCATCAAATCGAGCAATGGAATTGAAGTTCTCCTGACCGGGGATGCTTGTTTCAGCCCATGGAATGTGCCCTAGCTGAAAGGCCCTGTCAAGGATCGTCTCTCCAGGGGCAGGCGGTGCGCTGACGTCAAACGACATAGACGCCTCCATTGGTGACCCCAATGCTTCGTGGCCACGCGTGGGTGAACTCAAGGTCGAGGACCGCCCTTGGGCCGCAGTCCACCCCTCGATCAGTTCTCCCTGGTAAATCGAGTCTCTGATCGAAGGCAACCCCGCATCATTATGCATCGGTCCAGTGTATATTTGGCCTGGAACCGCAAACGATTTCTGAATCGGGTGCTGACTGACGCTAGAGGGCGAGGAAATGTCGCTTCGTTTGGATCGCAGGCTCGGTGAATCAGAGCTAAATGTGGCAGGACGCTCACGAGGTCCCGTTGAATACGTAGCGCCGGAGCTCTTGTGCTGTAGAGGCCTCGGATCTGGGCGGTTTGCTTGATTTCCGCTATCAGGTCTAGGGAAGTACTCTGTCTCACGACTTCTGGGGCTGAAGGGGCTTGAAAACACCGGCGTACTACTTCCATCTGATCCTGTAGGATTCTTCTTCTCCAGGATAAACTGAGCCCACTCATGAAGGCTATTGTGATGATCATCTTGCGGCGTCCGAAACCATAGAGTACTAGTACCGGCTTCCTTGCTTGCTATCAAGCCCACGGATCGACTAGAGCGGCGTTTCCGTTCCTTATCGGATATGGTGACAATAAGCGTAGGTTGGATAGGCCCTTGTTTGCGATAGGCTACCATTTGGACTTGGCAGTCGAGGACGCAGCTCGTAGGCCACTGGTAAGCAGGTTCCGCATCTTCCTGAGAAAACAAAAGGTGTTAGATATTGCCATGGGGGCTGCCAAGAATAGCAGCCAGCGTATCAGCGCTTACTTTGGACTTGAAAACGGAGATGCAGTATTCGTCGGTATACGCTTTGGCGAGAGGCTTCGGGCCAGAGCTGGTAGGCCATACGCCGTTACCACTCTGTCGGTCCTTCTGCTTGTTGATCGTCGCCCGTCTACCAACGAAGACGTATCGGGACTGCAAGGAGTGCGAATTAATCAGATGGGATCCAATTAGAAAGAAAACGGGTATAAAACCAAAGTACGAGACAAGACAAACGAGACAACAAGCAAGCATACCTTCCATTGCGCTTTCGCAAGAATGTGGTTTCGGTCGGGAGGAACAAGGAGAAAGCCGTCAAGGTAATCCATGCCGGGCGGTTGTGAGGCTGCTGCTCCCGAAAGATGCAGCTGCAGTCGCAAACAGGCCGGGAGAAGGCGAAATGAAAATTATCAGTCGTTCGGGTTAAAAGCACATGCTGAGGGCAAAAGCAAAGACGAAATCGCCTCTTCTGACCGAGTTCATATGCGTGGTCGAGAGGTTTGCGCTTCTCGGGTGTAAGAGCAGAGCTGCAGGAACCCAACAATGGGAATGCCTCCTATCTTGTCGTCTCCTCTTTTTTTTTTAAACCTCGTCTGGATGCCCGCACAGGACGAGGCAGAAGCAGCGAGCCTTTGGTGGGTCGAGAGATAGCAACGGGGTATCACAGCAAGCAACAAAGAAGAGAAAACGGCGAAATGAGGGATTCACCGAGATGGAGCCATGGAGAAGAGGGAGCGCGAGCTGAAATACTAGCAACGGGCAGTAATTTAGCAACTGAGGACCCGGCCTAGTTCTCCGGAGATGGTGGATGCGGCTGGGGACGAAGTTTTAGCTGCCAAACCCGAGTTTATAGATGACGATCCGGTGTTCAGGCGCCGGCGGGGGCAGCAGAGACGCTGTGCAGCCATGCGAGTGCCAGTGCACAGGGCCCTGGGCGGCCCTCGTAGGTGCCCACCGTCGCTAGAGGACGCTGGCGGAACGCTGTACTTTGCTGCTGTGACGGAGCGCCGCCACCGGACCCAGCGCTGGGAGGCGCAATCGAAGTCAAATCCGAGGCACCGTATCCATGTACCTGGCTCGACGCCTGCGATGCAAGATACTTCCAGAATGAGTGGGTCAACGTCGAAATCAGCGCTAAATCCGGCCTCAAAGCATGTCTCGTCATGGCCGCAGAAGAGTCCAAGTACATGGAGCTCGCCGGCGCACTAAGGCCCTTGCTGTCCCCTAAAGAACAGCCAGTGGACCACGCCGCCTCCCCTGGGACATTCCAAGGGTTCCTGATAAATTGCATCCCCACCGCCCAGCATCTATTAGCAAGGCTTTGGAGGCGCGAAGAGAATGAAAGAAAAAGAAGACACGAAAAAAAGTCAAACGCTGGTATGGAATTGTAAAAGCACCAAAACGCTAGCATTACAGTAGCGGAACTGCAAGGTACTTTTTTGTAGATGCCTGCATAGCAAACATGTTTGGGTGTAGTAGATTAGTACTAAGATGTTGCTTTTGAAGCAAAGAACCCATCGCATTACCTAAGATATTGTCAAGCAGGTGCCAATTACCGTAGTATCCAGCGCTACTGTATAGGTACGGGCAAGAGCCACCGTTGAATCCAGCAGAAGAATCAGATCCTTCCATGTGCCTACTAAAGCAGAGCAGGTGCAGCAATAGTGCCTTGGAATAGTTCGCCACCCGCTGGCGAAGTTGCGATCAGAGTACTTCGGGGTACCGCTTCCTATCACAGCGGGCGTCTGGTACTCCACGATACTACGGCCGAGCAGCTTCGTTTCACGGACGATGCCCTCGCTCGCCCGTTTGGCGTCCCGTGCTGGAAAGAGCCCATCGAGTCATTGGCAAAGCTGCGTCAGAGAGCGGAGCGCTGCAGCTCCCTGTCCCCACCAGGGTCTCCAGCGGTAATAACACTTGTAATACTACCTACTCCATATTTTATATCAACTTTGATGGTTTCTCTCCCGCAAACCGTCTTCAGCTCCCTACTACTGTATCTCTCTCCCCCCGCGCCTGGCTGCTGTTGACAAATACTGCGAGTACCGCGGAGTACCGTCCTCAATCGTAGTAGTCCTCTCCGGAATGGGGTCAATATTATAAACCTCCGCTGGACCTGATGCAGGCACATACGAAATAACATCCACCCAGCTGCTCTTGGCCTCCCAAGCCAGAGACGAGACCCTGCCTGTCCTGTGAGTCGTCCGATGCTGCTATGCTGCTGTGAGTGTCAGTATGAGTAACTGTGTCTACGGATTAGGAGAGCCGGGCACAAACGAAGGAGGCACAGCGTGCGCCTCCAATGCAGGACTGCATCCGCGTGTGTGACTAGCTACTTGACACCTGCGCTGCAGTCGTTTCTGCCAACCGAAGCACCAAGTACGAGAGCAGGTAGCAGAGCCCAGCCCAGGGACCAGGGTTGCCGGGCTAAGAGGGTGGCCATGGGAGCGCAAAGTGGCTCCTTAATTCTGTTCTAGCAAAGTCTATGGAATAGCGTCTCGACGCTTGGCCGCCAGAATGGGCCAGCCTTGGCCAGGGGCCAGGAACGGCGCAGAGTCTCTGAAAAGCCACCAACCATGGTATCATCATGGCAACACACCAAAGACGCCTAGACACCACTAATTTCGCCCTCCTGTCCGCCCGGCGCCGAATGGAAACGCACTTGCAAGTTCATTCATCTGGGTCTTGATCGGCATTGCCATGGCTGTGTCCGCCATTAGCCGTGTTAGCCACCATTCCTCCGTTCGGGTACACCAAGAAAGCAGACCACCTCTCGCCGTGGCTTGTTAGTTTCCTCAAGGACAGCAAAATAGGAAAGCACAAGCAAGATACCGAGCATTCCGCAGCATGCTAATGCCAGGCATACGCCCAAGCGGGCAAAGCACAGTTCCAATTGCAGCCATGGCGTGTTAGCACGGAACGCTACCATGCACGAATACAGGTACAACTTCTTCGAAGAGTCGTGTCGTTACTAGGGCTCTGCCAAAGGAAAAAAAAAAATCGAGGCTAGCTGCTGCTTGCTGCATGCAGGGGCGGCTATTGCAAGATGGCAATTATGGATACCGGCCTCCACCTACAGGTCCTCAAGCATCACCTGTCCTGTAGTGTATACTCTCAGAAGCACACCTGGGCATACTCCATGCTATCTGTTCTCTACCATTTATCACGAGGAAGTTGGTATGGGACTCTACTCCGCTACTTGAATTGGGCAAAGCAACTTGGCCTCAATGATGTAGGTAGAGCGAGGAAGTTACAGTGCGTACTGTAAAGGCCTGCTGCTACGAAGATCATCGTTCATCTTGACAGCGCTGGGCGAAAACGAAAGCTCCCTACGGAATATATCTACGATTAAAGGAAGGACATCTTGCTTATTTCTCACTCCTCTGGGGACTTTATCTTTGTGATACATTCGAATGTACGAATACCATCACTTTTAGATTGTCCCGACGAAGCAAAAAAAAAAAAAAAAAAAAAAAACAAGAAATTAAAAGGAAGATCAAAGAACAAGAAAAGCTCGGGGAAGCCGGGGTGTTGGTGCTACATTCTTGGCACAGCTAGTGCTCTTATGGTACCTGCATGCCCGGGACAGATCTGCTCATTGGCCAAAAAATGGCCGTCCGGCTAATGCATGGCTGCATCTCACGACGGTGATACTCACGGTGGCGACTTATTGCATCCTTTTCAAATGCTGGTACGGAGCGCAGAATACTACGCAATTGGCGACAGATATCAGACGATATGACGGCCGAGCCATTCGCCCCCAGACTGCTACGGCGGAGCGGTTCGGAGAGTAGTACGTACTGCTACCTGCAAACACAGCGCCATACTAGCATTGCTTAGCATGCTTTTAGCCGTCTGTTCAAAGTTCCCCTGCATTGCTACCAGTTGCCGATCTTCGCTGCAGCATTTCCACGGTGGTATTGGATTCGTGGTTCTTGGCTGATTCAGGCCAATAGAACTTCACCGATGGAAGGAACAGTGATCGTTAGCCTCCATCTTGATCTACGATCAATTTTAATGTCTAGTCTATTGGCCGGGCGCACATGCTTAGATGGCCAGTGCTGGAGCTCCAATACGACCTTACGGCCACGCCATCCTCTTGTTTGTACTAGGGTGCCCGGGGTTGCGCAAAACTAAAAGAAAGAACAGAAACAAACGGGCGCTGGTTACATCGCTGCTTCAAGCTGCACAAGGGCTGCTATATCTTTTTTCACCCTTGACATATACGCTACATCTAGCATAAAGGCCAGCAACATTAGCGGCTTGTTCGTCAGTCAGGCATGAATATGGAGGGGCGATGTGCCAGCGTCACCGCAAACTGTAAGTCGCTTGTATGCAATGAAGAGGTGGGAACACTCATTGCAAAACCAATCATATGGCATTACCGAGGTAAGTTCCATTGTCTCTATGCGCAGAACTAGGTAGATGGTATGAAACAAAGGGAGTCGGCGTTACGGCGTATCAACGATCATACATAACATAGAGGTGTAAGTTCTGCTCTGTGGTACCTTGGGTCTACTCGATTGCATCCACTGCCTACACCATATGCTGTCATGGATGACAGAGTGACGATTGACGGGGTTGCACAGAGCACCCATCACTCATTTGTCTTAGTATCAAGGATTGCGAGTACCATTGATCCTTTTTTTTTTTTTGGTGACCCTGAATCCCGCATATGATTATCTTGTCCCTTTCCGGCTGGCGCACTAACACTGCATTTTCTTCAATCGACCTATGAGGACTTGTTGTGCAGCAACAGTCGACATTATATGAGCAGGATGATGTGATAATGTGACAAGTAAGTCTAACCAGTCTTTGCTGGGAAATTGAGTTCCTGGTGAAACTTTCGATCCCTTTGTTTCAGCCCACCTTCTGTTTCCAATGCAAGCTCAGCAGTCAGTATACGACACGGTATTGCTGCATCCGGATTCGCCGAAACAGTTCATGTCCTAAGAACTATACGAAGTAGACTACTGTACAACTGGTAATATATTGAAGTACGCTGCGGCCTATTTGAAGTAAATGGAAGGGATCCGCGAGATCATCTCTTGGAAGTTGCCTCAACACAAACGGCGCAATCTTGCAACCATGGCGGTAGCCTGTTGATTGTATCTCCTGAGTGGAAGGTAAGCCTGGCTGCACGTGTATGTCAGCAACTCGGACTCCTACCGGTATACAGGTCAAGGCGGCTTTGCTGAATTACTTTTCAGGGATATCAGCCTCTGAGGAGATGCATCTGCAGCGCCAACCATGCATAGAAGCGATGCTCTGGATAAGCAGAATGTTTTCTGAAGGGATGCGTAAGGGCAGCGACCGATCTAAACGGCCCCGGTTCCATTTCCCGCAAATGATCGTGCCATACTGCCAGGCAGAGGACTTGGCCACGACGCATGCTGTTCGATCACCTACGCAGGAACAAAAGGGGAAACGATACGCCGCCAAGTCGGCTTAGTCGGATGACATTCGCCTCGTCTGCACAGTCGTCTATCATCCATCATTCCTTTCCTTCCAGCAGATCTCGCCTGTAAGAGCCCGGGAATTGAAATATAGCCGAGATTCTCTTACGGAGCGGGTAGTATATTATTTACTATCACGGCTAACTTGCCATTAGTTCTCAGTCGTGTCAGGCATGTAGGGTCATCGGCACTTGAGAAGCAGATGGCAACGACTTCTAAACAACCCCCTCCCCCCCTTTCCTCCTCTAAACTTGCTCTTTATCGTGACAACATACTAAGTACTCAGTATTCCACTTACAATATCGATTATACTTTGTATACTTTATATGGAGAATATATACTACCTACTAATAGGTATATATATTAAAGTACCTACCTGCGTTCCCAAGAGTCCGTACCATCAACATTTTAGCGCCGCAGAGCTGTGAGCATCACCGACGCTCGCCCCCCGGATTGTGGGGGTAGTCGCTATTCTGTGGGCATCCTATAATCCTTGTCCAATTTCGTCAAGTTGCTCAAGCTCTAGCCAAGCCTTCATCAGAAAAAAAGAACGAGAAAAAAAGCAAAACAAGCGCAAATGTGCATGGGCTCAATTTAGGCTTTTCACGCCCTGCACATAGGAACAAACTCTGTATACGTCTCAGCAGATTGCACCACAAGCGTTGGAGCCATCAGCAGGCTAATGCCTAGGCCTGTTTAAAAGAAAGGGGTAACATGCTGGAGGATGTCAGGGCCCAGGCCTCAAAAGTCCCAGCAGGCTTTGCTACTTCTACTTGCACACAGCAAGCAAGACGTCGGGGCAGGGTACAGGAACCTTCTCAAAGGGAACTTGCAGAAGCTGCTGCGTACAAAGTGTACGTGGCCCTGGATATTACATCTGCTGGTGCGTTTATACTAGGTGGTCTTGATGCATAGCGTGAGCTTTCCGGCACCTACCGAATACTGCTGGTCCTGGCAGTATTACTGTGCAGTGGCACTCCATATTCTATGCCGGGATGTGCGATCGAGGGCTCCGTAACACTAGCAGCATTACTACTGCCGCTGCCGTTGAGCCTCTAATACCTACACAAAGATGTGTCTAAAGTGCAGGACGAGAATTGGAGACGAGACACGGGAGACCATTATTGCACATGCTTTGCGCCACCGTCAACAGCTGCTTATAGCCGACGTCGTCCAGGACTGAGTGGCTATACATGTTGTATATGGTACGGTATGTTTTCTGGATGCATCGGGAATCGCTGGGTGGCATCGCTTAATCTTTCTGAAAACCGACATCGAGCACGGACGGCGGACTGGGCACCATCGGATCGCGCATGCTGGTAATGTCAGACGGCTCTAGTCATCGCTACCAGGTAATACGAAGAGCGATGACATTTCATTGCCGCAGGGTGACAGGAATCTCCCACTGCATGTCCCGCTCTCTCCTAATCGATGGCTAGGGTTCTACGCCGTGCCAAAATCGCAAAAAAATCGCAAGCAATGCCCTCTTGGCACCACCACGGCTGGTAATATGAAGCATGGAGTGTTTGCAAGTATGAATTGCTGCGGCTATCTGTATGTACCAGGCAGCTTCATCCTGCAAACAAGTGCACCATTCGCTCTCATACATCTGCCACCAGCACCACCACCGCATCCCCAGATCTGGAGCTGAAAGATGGGTTTCTCGCTGGTACTAGCACTAGCTAGCATGAAGAGATGCAGCCAGCATATACCGCACCCTTTGTGCTGCCTCTGCTTCTGCAGCATACCTTATACAAGCATGTGAATGTGTGTGCGTACTTGTATATGTGTGCAAGGTAGCCGGTCCAGGGGACGCAGCCTACTGCTAATCCCAACTGAATACCGAACGTCCCTCTCGCCATGGCCACGATATCTAGTTTGTACGTCCTGGCGACTTGTGCTCACGCGACACCGCGCCACTTTGCGGGGTTTCTCTGCTAGCAACAGCAGTCCTACTACGACGTACTAGTAGTAACGGCAGCAGTCCTTGATATGCAGTTGTTTGATTAACCTGCAGTAGTTGTTACTGTTCGTTGACCCTTTAATCGGCCATGGTTTAGCCTTTTTGCCTTTTCTTTTTGCCTTTGTGTTTGAGATTCCGGTGTGCCTGCTGTTGGTTGCATTCGCCTGGGGCTGCAGACGAGTTACACCGAGCCTTTCTCTATTCGGAAAGAAGAGAGATATAAAAAGAAATCTGTATACGACGATGACTATCCCACCCAACAGGTAGCACGGCATGTCTTAGTCCTGCATATGCAGAGGCATGTAAGGGGAAAGTCTACAAAGTCCAATCCGTATTAGCCTGACAGCCACACAAATCCTATGATCCTTTCCTACCTACCCCGTATTACTTACCAATGGACTACTACTACTAGGTACTACGTACTTGGATGTCATTGGAATTATGACGGCGTGTCACCGGTAGGAGCCATGATGGTACAAAGTGCACCTGGGGTGTAGAATTGTTGATTGAGTATTTGCGCTATAAACAAAAGCCATTCTTCTACACATAAGAGTAAACCGCTCATGGCATCAAAGGCCATTATACATCGGCCGCTACCTCTTTGAACGCCTCCCGGTAGACACTCCAGTAGGTTAATAGAGAAAGAAAGGGAGAGGGGTAGAGAAATAAACAGACAAATAAACACACATACAAAACCGTGTGGTAAAGACACAAGAGCTTGAGGCAACTGAAAGCTGAATAGCAATATCCTTCAACGTCGAAAGGTGGCATGACGCTTCAATCATAGCAGTATATCGCTCTCTATTTTCCTCTCATTGATTGTCCCCTTTGAGTCATGGTATGCCAGGACAGTTCGCGCGGGAGCTTACCACTTCTCCCAACTCTACCGTCGATGAAGGTGCATTCTGAATAAAGTAGATGAGGGGCCCATAACAAGAGTCAAGCGACCAAAATTCCCTCTCGTCCTTTCCGGATCTCTTGGCACGATAATCTGGCTTGCTGGTTGCGGCGGTCGCGCTGGTCGTAATGCTGGAAGCCTTGACCCTTCTTGCAGCTCTGAAATCGCCATCGCGGGCGGCGGTGTTTGTGGAAGTTGAGGTTCGGGATTTTTGGGTTGGCGTAGAGGGCGCAGCGTTTGCCTCTCGGCCTACGACTCGTCAACCGCATTCCTCCATCCGTTAGATCCTCCCCTAGGATGTCTTGCTCGAAGCTCCACACTCCGTGCTTTGCTGGTCCAGCTGTAAATCCTTATTAGTAAAATTGCGGCTCCCAAGTGTTGGTGGTTCTCGAGCGGTACTTACATTTTGATACGGCCATCATCTCCACAAGAAGCCAGCATGCATGGATCCGTGGGATTCCAAACCACTGCATTGCATCGCGGCTGGTGGCCGGGCAGCCTCTCGACGGCGGCCCCAATGTTCTTGTGCCAGATGAGAATGTTTCCATCTTCGCTTCCACTCATAACAAAGCTCTCGCTTGCGCCGCCAAATGCAGCACGGATAAGGAAATCGCCCCCCGTGTGCCCTAGAAACTTCTGAATGGAATTCCTAGTCGTGAGATCGATGAGTTGAGCCTCGCCGTCCTTCTTGTTGACAAGTAAATGCCGAGAGTCCTGGCTGATGCTGACCGACGTTGGCCTGGCCTTGAGTTCTAAATCGTATTCTAGCTCCCGCGTAATGGCATCGTAGACGTGTATGTGTTGAAGGTCATCCACTACCACTAGCAAGCGGCCATCGGGAGATCCACAAAGGTCCTGAACTCTATGCTTTTTGTCCCATTCAATAATCTCATCGTCGTATACGTTGAAGGTACATAGGCCGTGAAATTTATCCAAGGTACCCAATACAAATGATCTACCGTCTGGCGCCCACACACAGCCGCTTACCGGCTCGTCGAACCTTTTGAAATCTTTAATCAAAGTGCTTGTCTATATCTCAGAGGTTAGCAAAAGTCGTAATGACGCACAGTCTATCTGCAGATATAATGGGGTTTCCCTTCTTACATTTGGATCCCACAGCCGAGCGTGCTTATCAAATGAGCACACCATGATCATGGAGTCGTCGGGACTCCAAGAAATATCACAGATACCTTTACCTCTATCATCTGCAGGTTCAATGGTGAGAACACTAACGACGGAGAATGTTTGTGTATCCCATATCTTGACGTGCTCTCGGCTACCACAGGCTGCTAAGCGCGTACCGTCATGAGAAAACCGGACAGACCAAATTTCCCCTCCAAAGTCGCCTAGCTCCAGGGCTACTTCAGAAGGAAAATTCCGTCGGTCACAAAGGTGGTCGGAATACAGTGAAGGAGACGATGCCGCGGTGTGGTAGAGGCATGTATCTATCTGGCTTTGCTTAACGTGCTGAAGAAGCACAGCCAGGCGGTTCTCGGGGAGCATGACCGACGGTGATATGCGTTCTATAAGCGAATGGGTTAGCAAAAAGCAAAAGGACGCAATTACTTGGAAACCATTGGGAAGACTATACTAGATAATTCCGACAGCAGTTTTCTTCGAGACTGCCCATTGGCGCCATCCCAGTTAGCCTTTTGCATAACCTCTTCTGGAGAACTGCACATCAGCAAGCTTGATAGGAGTCGAAGTTTGGCCGGATCTTGGTAGAGGGGAGTCAAGTCCATGCGAAGTATCGTCAAGGCTCGAGATGTTTCTCCACGTTCGAGTAGCTCTAGAAACTTTTGCTGCCGCAGCCAGAATCTCATTATATCCTTGTCTGAGCCGGCTGCGAGAACAAGGCCATTTCCTCCCTCGCCTTCTTCATCTGGCGCTGTTGCACCGTTTAATAGGTCTTCTGCCTCTGCCCAGGAGCCAGCAAGCACGGCCGACCGAAACGCTGCGACGGTGGGATTCTCTAAGCTGTAACCGCTCTCTTGCCCAACACTGTCGGCTGCCGCCTGATAGCCCATGTCTGTTAGAGCCTGAATCAATATCCGCGTGACTTCCTCTCGATTGTGTCCGAAATACGTCTGAGGGTGTGGAGCCGATCGTTTCTCGCCATTCGACGACCCATTCGTCACAACACCCGCCTTACGGTTGCCGTTGGCGGAAATAGAAGAGGCTACATCCCGATGGGCTGTAGACGCGGCGAAAGAGCCGTTTGACTGCGTGGCCCCGGATCCATTAAACGCCCCGGCCATGTCCCCGTCTGATGACATGATTGCGCCGCCGCGCCGCCTTCGTTTGAATTGCCTTCCGGTAGTTGTGCCTGCAGCGGCAGACACAGCGTCCGCAGCAGGAACGGCAATACGGGCCTCGTCTTCTAGCGGAGGTTCTGCAGATGGTCTTCGTCGTCGTCGGCCTATGATCTGCGGGGGAGGCTGATGAGAGATGGAAGGAGATCGGTACGCTGTCGAAGATGCTATGTTCGCAGCAGTAGCCGGCACTCGCGAGGAAGTATTGACGGGCCGGGGGGCAGAGCGAGCGTCGAGTGCCGAAGACGTATCAGAGGAGCTCCGAGAGGCTGGCGGAGTTGGGCCGTCGGAGGCGTCAACCGAGAGGGCACGAGAGTTGGAGAGTTGGTCCACGTCGACCTCTCCGCGGCAGATGGCCGCGGTGTGATGGCAAGAAGCGTGGCAGACGGCTGGCCAAGGGCCACAGGAGACGGGGATTCACGGGAGTCGAGGTTTGGGCCTGGACGGTCCAGATCGTGAAGCTCAGCCAGTGACGGAACAGGGCGGGACTAGCTTGGCCGGAGCGTCTGGGGGGCTCGCCTGTGCAGCAAATACGGAGCCGAAATGCTCGTGCGAGGCCCTGCGGAAGGGAAGATGGCCGAGCAGGCGGAAGCAGCTGTCGTTGCAGTCGTTGCGTGTGCGGGACGAGGAATGTCGTCAGAGGGGTTGCGGTTCAATCTGTGTCGAAGGTCCGTAAGATTAAGGTTCCGCTGGGGATGGCACCTATGATGGGCTCCGGCTGCCCAGTGGCGGCTGCAGTGGCTGCAAGCTGCGCCGTGCCAGTGCGGCTCTAGCGACTCACGAGGTGGTGGCTAGCGCTAGCCGCAGCAGAGGCCAAGTATCTTAGATATTGATGGCAGCAATCTCTAGCTGCCGTGATAACACTTGGGAGGTTAGCATGTACATTACAGCTGAAGGGAGGCCAACAGTCTACGAGCGCTATGCCAGCCACCACCGTCTCATCCTATCCAAGAGATGGCCTATTGAAATCATCAAAATGCCTTGGTATGATGACGAATTACAGTACAGTTTTCCCTCTTCAATATGGAGATTGGGATATAGCATCTGAAGCAAGCATTGTGAATTGTGTCAGTCACATGCTAGGTCGTTTGCACAGCAGTAGGGCACATATACATGTACTAAGGTATGCCCAAACAACTTGGCTAGTCTCATCAGTCTTGCCAATCTCGGTTTATGCACTGGGAAATAAAATCATGATGTCTTCTGTTCAGGTATTTTCTTCTCTCTATTTCTCTGTTTAATTCTATCCTGCTCTCTTTATATCTTAGCGGCGAGGCTAAGTCATAAGTCATAAGACTGTTCTACAAGAATGATGATAATTGAAAGTAATGACAAAAGATGTACCCGCTATTAGTATTCTACCGTCACCGCCATCGTCACTCCTGGACGATGTCTTCACTACCTGCCAGCGCATGTCTTATTCATGGACATTCCACCGTTGAACTGTGTCCAGCTCATCTCCAATTACACACCAACTCTACACACCGTTGCCTAGAAGAACATGAGACTGCCTCAGGCAAAGAACTTTGGAGACGAGATGCACATCTATAAAACCATTCAACAAACACTTTCTCTTCTCTTCTCTTTCTTCTCCTTTTCTTGTCCAATCTCCTTTGAGTTTTATCATACATCGAAAACTCATACTTCATATCCTTTTGTAACTAACACGCGTTACAATGGCGTCCCCAGGCCCAGAACCGGCACCTGAAGTTACCACGCCCAATAACAACAGGGCTCCCCATCAAAAGAAGAAGGATAGGGACCTCTCCGATCCTGATGATGCATCTACCAGCGATGCAGCTTTCAAGAAAGCTGCAGCCGAGAGCCAGCGGCGGAGTGAGCTTATCCTCAGCTATGCGCGCCTTCCCAATGGACAAGAAATTGAACTTCCTCTTGATGACGACTTCATCGGATTTCATGCACTTCCGCGTAAAGGCTACTACATGCGGCTCCTCCAGCTACGGGAGCAGGTAAACAGTCAAGACAAGCGAGCTTTGCCTGAGTCGTTTAAAGCTCCTCCGCCTTGGGTTCCAGATCCGACTGACGACGACGCCAGAGCTCACGCTCACTGGGGCGAGGACGAAGAAAACGAAGAAAATGATTGTAACAGTCATGGTTCTCGCTCCGCTTATAACAGTAGAAGACCTAGGAAGAGGGTGTGCAGGAGACCAAATCGGACCCCAAGAGCGCAGCGATACCACAAGAAGTTCTACCATTTATCTAAAGAGTTTGTTCTCCCAGAAGACGAATCCGAGGAAGAAGAGCTTCCTGAGCACATTATAAGAAAGACGCCACCCACTTTTATGGGCATTCCAAGAGAGATTAGGATGAAGATATATCACCACCTACTTGTCAACAAGAAACCGATTACTGTCCACGGAGAATGGAAACAAGTTCGCAGGAGCAACTCATTGCGTTTGTCTACAGGCATCCTTAGTGTATGCAAGATTGTGCATGAAGAGGCCTGCGTTGTGCTGTACGGAGAAAATGTATTCTTATACCTTCTCCGCGATCCGATCTACTCTCAGCAGGCCATTCTCAGTTTGGCGACACATGATGGCGACATATCCGCCGAAGACGAAGGCGAGAGTGGCTCAGAGTACGAAGACGAGGAAGAGTCCCTGTTCTGCAATGACCACAGAGAGAAATGTATTGACATCGCCAAGTATGCGCATCTATTTCGGAAAATTGTTGTTGAGGCAGAACACAATCGATACTCGAAAGCAACTCGAGAGAGTATGGCCGCAGCAATTAAAGTGTTTGCCAAATCTAGTGATGGCGCGCCCAGAGACGACACTTGCAACATCCGTACGCTGACCATTCGCGTATCGCCTCTTTGGCATGAAGAGGAAGATGAGCCCGGAACAGGACGCTTCACTTTTATTGATTTCTTTGAAGCCCAAGCACCTGTCATCAAGGCCATCAAAACCGTCGACTGCCAAATATTGCACGTCGAGATACTCACTAGGTACATGAGCCGACTCTCTTCTAACTCGGCTATAACCTTGAGCGAAGACGGTTCGGTCCGTTTTACCGTGGACAGACGCTGGGAAAGATATCACAATATGATCCGTCAAGGAAGAGCGCACCAGGGCGTTCTCGACGAAAGGGATAAGGTTATGCAGTATCGGATGTCGCAAATGACCAACAGGACCTCAACAGCCATAGATGAGCTGGCCAAACACGTTGAGGCGCAGTGCAACGAGAGAAATTTCCATCAAGATACGACGATGGGTTTGGCAATCAATTGGCCAAACCTTGACTTTGATGATGTCGATGATGTGACCTACTGAGCTCTTCTTATTTCTTCTTCTGCTATTACAATATTTGCTGTGGGATTTCTCGATACTTGGATTGCATTTCTCTATTTTATTGGACTTGATTATTCTTTGAACAGATCCAGACGACGTGACTATTGTCCATGTCACTTGGGTCCTTGGAGTTTTCTGAAGACGGAGTCGGGATGGTTCAATTTGGTAGATTTGAGGCGACCAAGCAAAGCAAGTACTAAAGTATAACATGAGCTTTCGCTAATGGGAATTTCAAGAAATAGCTCTCTCTTGATCAACAACTTCTGCTGTCATTCTCCATGAATCGAACGTATTATCATATGCAAGTATCATAGTGAATAATCTCTACTTTGCTTCTAATTCTCTTGGTAATGAATGCAGTTGATGTGGCATGTTGAGAGTCACTTGATGATTCTTAAGCGAGACCCCAACTGAGAAGCCCCCATGACGTTGCCTCTCTTGCTTGTCTTGGCCTGCTCGGGCGCATTTTCGTGGATCCATTTAGGCGTCCATCTCCTCCATCAGCTTTCCCGCTTCCAGGCTGCCGTACAAGGTCAACGCTGGTCGGGCTGCGAGAATGCAGCTGCACACAGTATATTTCGGGGCCTTACAGTGGCTCCGAATCTAACCTCCCCTGCTTGGGACCCTGAGAAAAGCGCTGATCCGAGCGGTGTTCATGCAGGATCTACAGCCGTATTGGAGCACATACATGAATCTCCACCAATTGCAGCGGGAGCGAAAAGAAAAGAAGGAAAACTCTGTTGATAGCCGCTAGAAATACCAATGATACCTATTGGGCAAACGCCTTTGGTAAGGTAGCGGCTGCTGGGCACAAAGTTGGTACCTAATAAGTGTCAAAGGCCTCGTTGGGTGCTAATCGCGGACTGGTCCGAAGTGTGATCTAGCATGTATTGTCTGTAGCGGCCGAGCTAGAACATGACACGGCCAAAGGGATTTCCACTTGCAGTACTCCGTACAACGTGCGGAAAATAATTACGTAATTCCTCGCTGCCACGCTGCGAGTCAAGATCGATATAGATACATTGGGTAGTAGACTGGGTAGGGAAAATACTCGAGGCGGCCTCATATCCCAAGATAACTCATTCAAATGCTGCTGAGTCAAGAAACTTGTCTAGTAGGTACCTACGTAGTAGTAGTTGTTTCTATCCCACAAGAGGCACCAATGCTAGGAATTGGACAAAGAGCGTTCATGCGGCCAGTCAGCCTTGTGGGCATTTCAGGCCGCCTGGTGGTGAATGGATGATACCTGATACCACGCGGCCTGTCTTGGAACGCATCTGCAGGGAAGCATCGATTGGCTGGCTCGTGACAGGCCACGGAGCCAATACCCGCGGCCTGGCACACCACATAGACACGACGGTGACTGAATGTCTGCAAGAGTCAAAAAATTTTCTCTGCTAACGGAAGCCATGGCAATCACAGTTCAATGTGGCGCCTCGCGGTTTGTCCACATCATCCAGTGACGTCGACCCCTGCTAGGCCGCCTGCGTTGCAGCGTGTGTGCTGCTGTGGGTACGTACCACTATGTACTGCACTAAGGTGCCTGTATTTGTTGTTCTGGACGCACCAGCCTCACGCACAGGCCCAGACAGGCGCTCGCCCTCCGCGCTGGCGCATCGCCACGTGTGGCTGGACCGCCCTGCCCGCGCCAGGGCACCGGCCCAAAGCCGCCTAGCGCCGTTCCCTTGTTCAGGCTCAGTCCTGCGAGTCCCTCCTAATCTCCATCCAAACCCATAAACTCGCATCTTTGTCCAGCCCTTTGCTTGGTAGCGGCTCTCCGCCATTTCTGCGAATTTCAGGATACCATCTGCTGGAAGCTCCGTCTGGGAGAGTCACGTTCTCGTGTGCAAAACATCGACCCGGCTGCGGCCTCGCTGCGCTCTCACCGTCTCTCCCGCACTTATCAGCAAGGGCACCCCGCCACTTGATCGACCGCTGTGGTCTTCGCGATAACCCCCCTTTCGCAACTCGACCGCAACTCCTGGCTCAAACCCGTCAACTACGCTCCAACAACATACAACCGCCAGCGCGACCATGAGCACGTCCGGCTCTTCGCTTGCCCAGCCGGGAGGCATTACCGATCCCGCCCTGATCCAGTGAGTGTCTACCGCCGAGCTCGTGCTGCAGCTGTGGCCATTGTTACTGACTAGCAACCTTCACCGTTAGGCTCGTCAACAAGCTTCAGGATGTATTCGCAACCGTCGGTGTCAACAACCCTATTGATCTCCCCCAGATTGCTGTCGTCGGCAGTCAGTCTAGCGGCAAGAGTTCTGTGCTAGAGAACATCGTCGGCCGTGACTTGTGAGTACCGCCATGGAGCACCCACTCAGCCCCCTTACTTACCGTGGTTGCTTCTTCTTCTTCTTCTTCTTCTTCTTCTTCTTCCCTTCACTTCTCTTCATACTTTTTTTTTTTTTTGCCTCTGGAAGATAATTCTGATACTAATTCTTTACGCTGTAGCCTCCCCCGAGGTACTGGCATTGTCACGCGTCGTCCCCTCGTTCTTCAACTCATCCACCGCCCCGCCCAGACGAACGGCGTCAGCCATGATGAAATCGAAGCCGGCGCCGACAAAGCCGCCAACGTGGACGAATGGGGCGAGTTCCTTCACTTGCCTGGACAGAAGTTCTACGACTTTGGAAAAATCAGAGACGAAATCTCAAGAGAAACAGAGGCCAAAGTCGGACGAAATGCGGGAATCTCTCCGGCCCCCATCAACTTGCGCATCTACTCCCCCAACGTTCTGACCTTGACCTTGGTTGATTTGCCAGGTCTGACAAAGGTTCCCGTTGGCGACCAGCCCCGCGATATTGAGCGCCAAATTCGGGACATGGTTCTCAAGTACATCTCCAAGTCAAATGCCATCATCTTGGCTGTCACGGCCGCCAACATCGATCTGGCCAACTCCGATGGCTTGAAGCTGGCACGTGAGGTCGATCCCGAAGGTCAGCGGACCATTGGTGTTCTCACAAAGGTCGATTTGATGGAAGAGGGCACCGATGTCATTGACATTCTGTCCAACCGTATCATCCCGCTGCGTTTGGGCTACGTTCCTGTGGTTAACCGAGGACAGCGAGACATTGATAACAAGAAGGCCATTGGCGCTGCCCTGGAAGCGGAGAAGAACTTTTTCGAGAACCACAATGCATACCGCAACAAGAGCTCCTATTGCGGTACCCCCTACCTTGCTCGTAAGCTTAACCTCATCCTGATGATGCATATCAAGCAGACGCTTCCGGATATCAAGGCGCGAATTTCGAGCTCCCTGCAAAAGTACAGCGCTGAGCTGGACAGCTTGGGCCCGTCGATGCTTGGCAACAGCTCGAATATTGTCCTGAACATCATTACCGAGTTCACCAACGAATGGCGCACCGTTCTGGACGGTAACAACACTGAGCTCTCCAGCAGCGAACTGTCTGGCGGTGCCCGTATCAGCTTCGTTTTCCACGAGCTTTACGCCAACGGTGTCAAGGCCCTTGATCCGTTCGACGTTGTCAAGGATCTTGATATCCGAACCTACCTGTACAACTCATCGGGTCCTTCTCCCGCACTCTTTGTCGGCACGACGGCCTTCGAGCTTATTGTCAAGCAGCAGATCAAGCGAATGGAAGACCCCAGTCTGAAGTGTGTATCGCTGGTTTATGACGAATTGGTGCGGATTCTGTCACAGCTGCTCTCCAAACAGCTCTACCGCCGGTATCCTTCTCTGAAGGAGAAGATGCACAGCACCGTTGTTTCTTTCTTCAAGAAGGCCATGGAGCCAACCAACAAGCTCGTCCGAGATCTGGTCTCCATGGAGGCGTGCTACATTAATACAGCTCACCCTGACTTCCTTAACGGCCACCGCGTATGTATTTTCCCTTTCTCTTCTTGTTTGTGTCTTTGTCTTTCTCCCTTTGTTTATAACGGAGATCTAACCTGAGATGCACCTCTAGGCTATGGCCATTGTCAATGAGCGTCACAACCCAAAGCCTGTTCAGGTGGACCCCAAGACCGGCAAGCCACTTACTGGCACTCCTGGCCGAGCTGCCAGCCCAACAGTCCCAGAGACTGACGGAGCCTCAAACGGAGGATTTTTTGGAAGCTTTTTCGCCGCGAAGAACAAGAAGAAGGCCGCCGCGATGGAGCCGCCACCACCAACCCTCAAGGCCTCTGGCACACTCTCAGAACGCGAGGTGATTGAAGTTGAGGTTATCAGTAAGCACATTCCATACAGCTGATGAAGACTTGCATATGCTAACGATGAACAGAACTGCTCATCTCATCCTACTACAACATTGTCAAGCGAACCATGGCTGACATGGTTCCCAAGGCTATCATGTTCAACCTTGTCCAGTATGCCGCCCAAATTAGAACTTGGAACCAATATATGTATATATAAAAGATGCTAACTATTTGACTCCCAGGCTCACAAAAGATGGCATGCAGCGAGAATTGCTGGAAAACATGTACAAGAACGACAGCATCGACGACTTGCTCAAGGAGAGCGACTTCACCATCCGCAGGCGGAAAGAGTGTCAGCAGATGGTTGAATCTCTTGGCAAGGCCAACGAGATTGTCAGCCAAGTGCAGTAGAGAAAAATCTTGCGAGACGCGCCATTTTCTAGATTGTGATTATGTTTAGACGATCGTGTGGACCAGGCGACTTTATGGCTTATGAGATGCAATGACGCACGATGAAACTCGCTCCCCTCCTTCTCCTCCTCCCTCCTCTCCCCTTTTCCTAAACCCCTTCCTCCCCTTTTTCCTTTCTTCTTTTTTCGATACCATCGGCTGTTCCGGAGGCTAAAGTAAATGAGTAATGAGTCCGGAGAGAGAAACGAGAGCGAGAGCTTGGGGGGTTTTATCGGCAAATGTGGGATATCAAAGGTTTTAAACTCGTCGGATAAGCGGAGTATTTGGAGAAGTAGAGCTGCTCTTTTTGGGTGGTCAGATTGGACCGGGGAGGGGCCTACTTTTTTTTGTTTTTGTTGAGCGCGAAGAGGTTTTTTTTAATCTCTTTCTTCTCTTCAATTATTTCCCCCCNCCCCCCCCCCTTTTTTTTTTTAGGCTTACAGCATGACCAGATTAGAATAACAATTTCTTTCTTGATGTGAAGCCATGAATGTGCATGTACATGATTATCTCGCAAGTGTCTTCCTTGTGAGAATGTGTGTGGCTCTATTGAAAATATCGTAAACATTAAGCTATATGATTGAAGCTATCATTCATGTATATATATGTATGTATGTATAATAATAATAATCTCTTGACTATGTCATCATAGCTTGGAATTTCCTCCCTTATCCCTGAGCACAGCAGCTCCCTTCTCCAGCTCGTATTGATCTCCATTCTTCCACCCAACCCATTCCTGCAAAACTTCTTCTGTCCCTTGGCCAAGGGCCAAAGGCTCGGCCACATACCCCTTCCCCTCTGCATCAGCGGGCGAGTACAACGGTGTATCTCTCAGTGTTACCGCCGGCCTCTGGTCGCCTTCCCTATCGGGCTGTGCCTCCAACTCACCGTAGGACAGCACGGGCACGCAGCATGCATCTGTACCGTCGAAAACAGCCTCCCACTGCGAGCGTGTCTTGCTCTTGAATATCTTGGTGAAGGTGTCGTGGAGTTGTGGCCAAGAAGAGGGATCGTGACGCTTGGATTCCCAACCTTGGCCTTCCAGGCCGAGGCCCTTGATGAGAGCTTGGAAGAACTGAGGCTCGAGAGCGCCGACAGACATGTATTCGCCGTCAGATGTCTCGTAGGTATCATACCAGGGACGGCCGCCGTCAAGGACATTTTTGCCTCGCGGTTGGTCACCCAGGGGAGTCTTGAGGTACATGCGAGGGAAGGATGCGAGATGGGAACTGCCGTCTACCATGTTGGCTTCGACGACTTGGCCTTTTCCAGTGGAGAATCGCGATATGATGGCGAGGAGCACGCCTTGGGCAAGTGTGGCGCCTCCGCCCGCAAAGTCGGCGAGAATGTTCCATGGAGCGAGGGGCTTTTCGCCTGATCTTCCAAGCAGAGCGAGTACGCCAGATGCGGCCAGATAATTGATGTCGTGGCCGGCCATGTCGGCGTATTTGCCGTCGCGGCGGAATCCAGTCATGCGGCCGTATATAAGGCGCGGATTGATGGCGAGCAGCTCATCTGGACCTAGACCCAATTTCTCCATCACGCCGGGCCGGAATGGGTCAATGAGGACGTCGACGTGCTTTGCGAGGCGCTTGATGAGTGCTATGCCGCGAGGGTTCTTTAAGTCGACGATGATGGAGGACTTATTGCGGGCGAGCACATCGGGAATTGACATTTCACCTTTAGAGTTGGTCGAGGGAGGCCTATCGACCCTGAGGACTGACGCGCCTGCATCAGCGAGGATAAGGCCTGCATAGGGACCTGGGAGATAATATTAGTTATAAGCAGTGACAATTGGTAGCGAGATGCGTAAATGTGAAAGGTGAAAGACGAAAGGCGGATGGGTAAATGGTGCTTACCAGGGGCAAGACCAGCAAACTCCAAAACTTTAATTCCCTTCAGGGGGGGGGCCGAAACTGTCGCCGCCATTATCGCAGCGGAGATGGATGCTTCTATAAAGTTTTCATAAGCGGGAGATCTTGGACCTGGGATAAATTGTCATATATAATAGGATCTTCGGTTTCGCATCTCATGGCAAACAAGGTAGGTGAGATGAGGAACTTGATCCGACGGACCGAGGTTTAGTGTGTGGGGTAGAAGCCGCTATTGCGCGTGGCAATCCTGATCTGGTGTGCTCCATATTAGAGGATCAGGTAGGTAACATTGTTGTTAGTCATCATCGCACGAGGATGGTTTTGTTACTATTGCTGGTCCTTTTCACAGCATCAATCCTTCGTACGTGAGAGTTGGAGGTAGGTGGTAATATGTAGCGGTAAAGAGTAAGCGTGTCAGCCAGAGAGCTGGTGGCCCCTTGCATGTGACACATTCCACCTATCCTTTAACGTGCGAATTTCTTCATCCAGATTGATTCCCGTGCTGGATGATATCTGAGTGAAGCACGACAACAGCGATTCTTGCTGCGACGGATGCGTCATGTCCCTGGCGATCCACAACAGTCCAGCAATGAGAATAGGGTCCCACTGCTCTGCAAACTCATTACGCGTTGCTGTTCCCGCGATTTGTTGCGCGTGCCAGCTCAGCGATGAGAGATGGCGCTGGCGACTAGATAGTCGCAAAAGTCGGGGTTTGCGCGACAGAAGAAGACGTGATGAGATGTGGTACACAATGTTACATTGCAGAGCAATCGAGCTTGTATAGACAGGTATTGGGAATGATGACTCGTTGTCAGCGTCGATTTGGCCTGCCTCAACGCTGCGGATTTCCAGGATTGGCTGCATTTCGACTGGTCGGTTGTGATACCACTGCTGGCAATTTGACCATAGAGAAGACCATTTTGATGAGAAATACGAGCCTGGGCTTGATGGCAGTGGTTCCTGAGTTGCTGACATGAAGAAGGGTGGTGAGGGAGAAGCAACGCTGCTACCGCTGCTGCCATTGAGAAGTTGGAGACAGCTAGCGAGTTGAAGTAAACAAGCGTTGTAAATAGATTTCGTCGACAATGGGAGAGTGCGGTCTGCTGGATCATGATTCATTGCGAATCCCAAAGTTGTAAGCGGCGGTTGATCTGTCAACAGTGACGCTGCGAGATCTATTCAAATAAGAGTGTGTTTAGCCAAATATCCTAAATTCCAATTTCCTTGTATAGATTGAAGTGGTGGTTTATGGAAGTGCTCACCAAGTCTGGAATGGAACCGCAGTAACGTTTCAAGCGGCTCTCCAAATCCCGAAAAGTTATTGGTATTCCTCGTAGATTCATCCGACTGGAAGAAAGATAACGTTCTCCATTGAGAGGGGCTGAGGTTGAATACTTCTCCCACGGCTATCAGAGCGTGTCCAATCCGTCTCACTCGTGGCTCTTCAAGGGCAAGAGCATTCTCCGTCTCTTGCTGGAGCAGAGTTGAGTCCCCATATGTTGAACTGGACTTGGCTAACTGACTAGAAGCAGCCAGCGAGATAGCAGATGATACGGGTCGTCGTCTCTGCGCGAGGAGCATGATCTCGGTTCCAAAGGCAGATCCTAAATCGCCGGCTTCAATCCAAGGCGCGAGGTTATACTGGAAATGCAGCAGAGCAGCAGTTTCGTTTTTGATAGAAGCAGCATGGGTGGGAGAGAAATAATCCTTCCATTCGGATTGTGGTAAGTGCGAAGCTGCGAAGGGTGAAGCTGTCTTGGACTGAGAGCTTGAGCTGGCCATGAGAGTTTCCACGATATCATCATCCTCAGGTCTAAAAAGAGATGCCGGTTGTTCTTTAGCCTGTAACGGTGGCTCTTCACGCTGAGTAGATGCCTGTGCTTCAGTCGATGGCGCCGAACGCCTGGACGAAGAACCGGTTACAAACTTGCAGAGTCTCTTGTTAGTAAATCTTCATTGCTTGCGGGTCATTGGAGAAGTGATCACTGTATGGAGCAACGGCTCACTCACCCTAACGTTCGAATACGACCGTGTGGACTGGTCTGAAGAGGGGTTACTCGTTCCTTGGGCAGCACCAAGTTTAGGACCCATGATGAAGGTGAGGTCCGGGTAGTTGCATGGAACGTTCCTCTCTTCACAGCTGCCGCATCGCGGCTTGCGTTCATCACCTGCATGCTCAGTCAGCATTTGGTTAAATATTAACCATCAATGGCTCCCGCCAAACAGTGGAAGCCGTTACGCAGATTTGCCCTTTTTCATATATGAAGATGTCAAAAACCAAGGCGTGAGCATGACGTACATTTTCGCCTACGCTTTCGACACGAGAGGCACCCAGTCCGGACCCTCCTCTTAGTGTCTGGGATGTTCCGAATGACAGGCATTGGACTGATTCCGAATATACCGGATCACTCTGCTATGAATGCATGATACATGGGATCCATTCATCTACTTCACCACCAGCAAGGAACAAATCAGGGAGAAACGCAGGACAAAGTGACAAGAGCCTTCAAATCTTAAGCCGTACTATGTAGCATTGGCTAAGTTGAAGTTTGCCGCGCTCCTGTTTCTCGTGTTCCGCGTACAAGAATCAGCAGAAACTGAAATATTCTAGCGCCCCGCTAGTGCGCTGCAGACTTTATGGGGTGCCCCGTTAGTTGTGCATTGGATTATTCCCAGTATAGCGTAGCCTTAGGATCGGCTAGTTTGGAACTATCAAAACAACGGACTTGCAAGCTACTTGTTAAGTAATTATTAGTCGTGGGTATATTTACTGTGCTCCTAAATCTCCTATTTTTGCAACTGGGGTTTTCTTCTCAAAAACAGAACCTTCATCGCGGTATTTGCGTCCAAAATCATCATGGCTAGTAGTACTCCGTTGCATTCATTACTGTAATAACACACCTCCATCCCAACTGCTGTCTCGCTTACAGCTTCTCAATCTGCGTCTCATGGATATCCTTCTTCTCGTATAGAGCTGCTGCGCGAGCTTCAACAAGAGCAACCAGACCAACTTCCTCTTGGGCCTCTCTCAACAGTTGAGCATCTCTCTCGCCGGTACGGCTGTTGAACACCCGGTCCATGTCTTCCAGTGTTGCGTTCTTCGTCTCGGGGAGGAAGAACCAGACAGCAAAGATGCCAACGATAAGGAAGACGGAGAAGAAAATGTAGGTGCCCCAAGCCCAAGCCGAAAGCATGGGGGGCACGAAGAAGGCAATAGCAAAATTGTTCAGCCAGTTGCTCATGGCACCGATAGAGGCACCCTTGGCTCGGATAGAGAGAGGGAAAATCTCGGAGACCAGAGTCCAAGATACGGGTCCCCAAGTTGCGCCGAAACCGGCAATATATATCCAGATGAGAGCTATAAGAAAGCTGGTTAGATTGATATTCCTCCAGGCTATCTATTGGAGATATTGACTTACCAACAGCAACCCAGCCGGCAGCGACGTGATCAGGCCAGTCATTGCGGAACTTGGCAACGATTATACCGACAATAATCATGCTGACAGCCATGACGATGGAGCCGACGATAAGCATGGGCTTTCGTCCGACCTTGTCAATAATCAACTGTAAAATTGTAGAGTCAGTTACCAGCTACAGAAAATTTGTGACAGCCAGTGAAACTTACCATAGCAGGTACGGTGCTAACAATGAAGACGACTCCAGTGACGCCGGTTGCCAGCAGTGCTGTAGTGCCTCCAGTCAAACCCAGGGTGATGAAGATGTTGGTCGCATAGTAAATAACTAGAGAATAGTTAGCTAAAGCACTTTTCGATTCGTAGACAAGGGAAACTTGCTTGCGTCAATTCCACTATAAGAGTTGTTAGCATAATGACATAATGAATATTTTTAGTTTTTGGAGTGGCACTCACCTCCACTGTTGGAAGAACATGATGAAGAAGCCAGTCAACACTCGCTTAATGTTATCCTTGGAGTTGAAGCAGGCGGCATACTGAGCAAATTGCTCAATAAAGGCACTCTTCTTCTTGGCCGCGAGGTTGGGGAAATCCCGTGCAAAGACGCGCTTCTCAAAGACACTTTCGGCCTTGACTTCGAGGAACTCGATCTGGACAAGTTCGTCATCCTCAGGGAGCTTTCGCATCCAAGCCATAGTTTTCTTGGCCTCCTCATCTCGGCCGACCTTGACAAGCCATCTGGGAGAGAAAGGCATGAACCAAATGCCAATGGCCAGAAGGGCTGCTGGTATTCCCTGGATAATGGAAGGGAGTCTCCAAGCAAGGTCGGACTGAGATTCGCCGGTTCCGCCGATAAAGTTGCTGCAGTATCCGACCCAGAAAGAAAGCATGATTCCGAGAATGGTGGCGAACTGGTAGAAAGAGACCAACAGTCCTCGCATCTCCGGAGCCGAAAGCTCAGCGTTATAAAGAGGACCGACACCGCTGAAGAGACCAACACCGAGACCGGTGAAGAACCTGCCAGCATATAGAAGGGAGGACATGCCCTCGTGGGCACCGACGTAGAGGTAGCTACCCAGAATGACCCAGAGACAGGCAATGAACATGGTGTACTTTCGGGAGATGATCTCGCCTAGCACACCGGCGGACAGAGAGCCGACGATACCGCCGAGTTGAAGAACCGATGTCAGCCAGCCCGTGGCTGAAGAGGAGCCGACAACTGCAGGGAAGTTCTCCTTGAAGCGAGTCATGACCAAGGATTGGCCCAAGACACCTTGTTGGTAGCCATACTCGAAACCACCCAATCTGTATGCAAAAAGCACCACCAACTTGTTAGTGAACGTTGCTTGTACCAGCCAACCGGCTGAACCAACGGAGTCTAAGAGGAAAACCAAAAGAAAAAGAAGCACTTACGAAGCAAAAAAAGCAATGAAGAGGACTTTGGGGTTGTGTCGAAGAGACTGCCACATGGTTTTCTGGGCATCATTGACACGTCGTGCTGGCTCCACGGCCAGGCCGCCGTTGGCAGCAACCTCAATATCCGAGGTTCCAGTGGACATTGTGAATTGTGTTTCAGTTGCAACAACGCACAGACGATGTGCCGGGCAAGAGAGGAAGGGATTGTCAAGCTGATGAAGACAGGCGAGGAGTGGTTCGTTTCCCCAGAAGAGTGGGAGAGCCCCAGCATTTAAATGCAACCCTCTCTCTGGGTTGTTACTCCAGATTTTCACCCCATGTTTCCATTATTTAAACTGCTACCTCGTGGTTGACAAAAATCTGGAGCCTCCCCCAGCCATACGAATCATGTCCCGGGTTGTTTGGTGGAGACCCAAGCCCGCTTGACAATTTGGGGGGGGAACTGACATGTTTGCTCTTATTTCCTTGATGGAGGAGCGTCGTCGCGGGCGAAATCTGGGCGAAATCAGAGGGGTCCGTAGGCTCTGCCCCCTGCGTTGGGAATAGCATCACCGCCACAGCGAGTACCGAAAAAGAACCCGATTGGCTGCGCAACGCCCTCGGCTGTTGTCCGCGTATAGCTTCATGCTTTGGACGCCCTCATGTAAGGCGGCTAAAGACGCCGTTTCTCCACCGGCGCGGCCTATCCTGTTGCGGCAGCGTAGCCTACGCACCGCTCTCGCCTCGTCTCTTCGCGCGAACTGCTGGCTTCGTGCCAACGTGCTGACAAGGAGGGGTTGAATGACTCGGGCTGCCATGTGCCGGCGACCGACTAAGACGTCAACATACGAGCATTATCCGCTTCGTATGATTTTTTTCTCCCTGGTTAGTGTTTGGCCGGGGAACCGGGCTAAGCCGCGTTGATGCTGGTCTTCCGTCTCTCGTGGTGGCGTCCGGGTTTCTGCTGCAGATGCGGAGAAGAGATGGCCGCCTGTGCATTGCATCTGGGCCTGGCGGATCGATCACTTGCGCGGTGCCCACTTGAGCGATTGCCCCGAATTTCCCCAAATTTTCTTCACGCGGAGAGCCAGAGTTTTCCTTCAATCCATTGTTTTCAAATTAAAGTGATACGAAGTGGAATTAGCAGTAGTTTTGTTGGCCGTTACTAGGGATTACTATTACGTGGTGCTTCGTGGCGGATCCTTCTTCTCGGCCAAAATCAGACAAAGAAAGTTCGCCGAGACTGCTGCAAGCCAAGTTGATCTTAGCAAAAAAAAAAAAAAAAAAAAAAAGTTTCAACACCAGGGGCCACTCGATATCAGAACAGGTTCTAGCAGGGTAGACTCGGCAAGCAAAAAAGAAAAGAAAAGAAAAAAGAGAGAGGCTATTCTACCCCATGGCTGACGACAATGGACGATCCCAGTGCTAACCAGGTTGACGGGGACGCCTTCATGTCCCCGACCTCACTCTCCCCCTTTGATGAATACGCCGCCAATCCCAGATATATCGAGCTTCAAGAGGAGCTGCGAGGCCTGCTGTTTGCGGGCGTGTCTCTCGACCCAAGTAAGAGCGCAACGCCTGAACCAGCCTCCGATGAGGCGGATGATCATGAACGGGTCTCGGTGCCGTCTTCAAAAAGCCTCGACTTCTCCAGAGTCTCAATACCCAAGATGAGGCTGGTCAAATATCTAAAGAACTGGGTCATCGAATGCTCACCATACTTGGACAAGTTTGACGAGGCACGGCACTTTGGGATCCAGGTGCCCTTGTTAGCTCAGAGCTCGCCAGGCTTGTTCTACGCAGTACTCGCCTTCTCAGCAAGGCAAATGGAGAGAAAGGCTTGTTTGGAAAAGAGCTACGACAGTCTCGAGCTATACCAAGAGAGCATCAGACTGCTGGCACCAGGGCTACAGGCCAAGGACCCCAACATGCTTGTCACGGCATGCATCCTCGCCGTCCTCGAGCTCATGTCCGGCAGCCCCCGCAACTGGAGGCGGCACATCGAAGGCTGCGCATCACTCTTTGCCTTTTACGAAGTCACCGGCTTTTCAGGAGGTCTCCTGCAGGCCGTATTCTGGTGCTACGCCCGTATGGAGCTCTGCGGCGCCATCATATCTGGCGGCGCCGAAAGCACCGTGCTCAGTCTCGACAAATGGGTCCCGGCCGTGCCCGAGGGCATCGGCACCACCAAGTCCCAGGCCGAAGACTTCGTCAAGAGCATCTTCTACCAAAAGGGTCGCGAGACGCCCGACATGCACGCCAATTGGGCCGTCTACCTCTGCGCAAAGGCCTGCGACCTGATGTACCGCCAGGTGAGGCTCGTCGAGCTCGGCGAGCAGGACGAGTCCGACGACAGGCCCCTTGTCGACCGCTGGCACCGGCTCTGGTCCGAGCTGCAATTCTGGCGGGACACGAGGCCAAAGTGCCTGCTGCCCATCATGACGACGGAGCCGAGCGAGAACCAGATCTTCCCCGTGATTCTGTTTGCCCACTGGGCGGCGATTTCGAGCAACCAACTGTACCACGCGGCGTGCATAGTGATGCTGGAGATGAGGCCGCCGGGAGAGGCGCTGCCGAATACGCTCGAGTATTCGGCTATTTGGCACGCACAGAGAGTCTGTGGCATATCGTGGACAAATCCTCACCGCGGCAATCTCATTAATGCAATTCAGCCGCTGTATATCGCAGGCAGACTGTTGACGCACCCGAGAGAACATCTGGAAGTCGCTCGGATATTCAAAATTATCGACAGGACGACGGGATGGGGTGCCATTTGGCGGCTGAAAGACCTGGAAGCAGAATGGGGGTACGAGTCAGGGGAGATCCTGAGCATGATTTGATACCCGGTGTGGGAAGAAGAGCATATGGCAAACGATGTCATTTCGCTCACAAATAAGTAACGAGCACATACGAAGACAGCATGACGCCATGTGAAGCAATTCCTGTATATAATTTAAACGCTACCTATGTATAATGACTCCAAGCCTGGGTAGATACAAACACACATATTACCATCTTATGTAAATTCAATTCAGTCAAAGCATATTTCGCCTTTCATTCTTATTCTGGGGGGAGAGGGACGCGAGCGCAGCCTGGAACGAAAATGTAGTTGCCACAATACACAGATGTTCGCAGCAGAAAGGAGATGAGGCCATCTATGCCCGTTTTGCCAAAAGACTCGAGGCCACCTCTTGCCGAAACCATGGTTCTGGCAGCTTGGGCATGGGTGAGCGATGTGTCAAAGTTGTCTTCAAAGTACTATAATTGGCCAAGGAAGAAGAAGGGAAAATGATTAGCGGTTGCTATGCCTAAAAGGGGCCGACGACATGTTGAAGGAAAAAAAAGACTTACCGCCTCTGAGCTCATTGTCAGGGCCATCGCAACAGTCTCGAGAGTCGGTCGTTTCTCCACTGAAACGGCATGCCTGGTCCACTCTATACAAGCCATCCGATAGCGCTCCACCATGCGGTTACATTTGATTGCCTCGTCTACATCTGTCGTATTCATGGCACGCCGGTGGTATGCGACGTATAGAATGAGAGTGAGCAGACCAGGGTTGCTCATCGCGAAGGGGACGAAGGTTGACCTCATTCGCTTCTCTACAGCGGGGGCCTGGTCGGGAGGGAAACAAACCGCGTAGCCATACTTGAGGACCCATTCCAGATCTGGTGGCGTGATTAGTACGCACAAGGTCAGTATATGTACATTTTGCGTCTGGGGAAAGGTATGTAGTAGGTAGTACAGGCCCCCTATACTTGTGCACGCAACCTCCATAGTATGCGCGTGTCAAGCAGTCAAAGCGCACTCCACTTGCACTCTGCCGCTATGCATGATCTGCAAGATCCGCGCAAGGTGGGATGGAGAAAGGAAGCGGGAGATCCTCGCAGTACTACCTAGTACTACATTTACCTTTTCTGAGATGGGTAAGGCATATCGACTTACAGTAATTGAAGGTTCCATAATCGTCGAGTGACAGGTCCCAGGCGAACTGTCCGTTCCACGCGTCTTTCATCGTGTCGCCAATCATCTGCCTCGGGCCAGGCGAAGCCGCTTTCCGCACCATAGCGCCTCTCTTCGGCGCAATTCTCCGAAACCCCTTCTGTCCCAAAGCGGTATTTGTAGATGAAAGCCAAGCCTGGTGTGGACGTTGTAGGCCATCTGGACTCGCGGAAGTGGAGCTTGGTTCGTCGGTTCGGGCGGCATCGTCCGCAGCCAAATAAGGCAGCGAAGAGGATGCCGAGGAATAAGAAGTGATGCTATTATTTCTCCTGCTACTACTGGGAGTAACGGCTATAAAGGTGCCTGGCCTGATTTGGGCAGCCTTGCGTTGACGGCGGCGGGCGTGGGAGTCCTTGGCTACATGAGATCGGATCTGGCTGATGCGCTTTGCGGTTGTGGACTCGCCGGGATGAGCTGTATTAATAAACTGAAGCTTAAACGCTGGCGTTGTCGGCTTGGCGGAGATGGTTTTGGCGGAGGCGGCAGAGGCGGCGGAAGCAGCGGTTGAGAAGCGATTAGGATGAGAATGCGACGGCATAATAGTCAGAGGCCTGGAGACGATGGTGGGATGAAGAAACAGGTCACCATCATTATAAAGACCATCGTCATCGCCGTTGTTGATGTGCTCGACCATCGCCATGGCTAGATTTGGTACCTATCTTAATAATAGAGAGATGGAAATGACACTCTCGGCCCCAGTGTATAGAGGGTGGATAGAATGGAGGCAGATGGGGCAAGGCTGGTTGTACAAAGTACCGTATCAGGAGAGTGGACTCTGTCCAATTAAAAGAAGAGTATGTTCATATTTGGAGTAACAAATGCCGAGAGCATTGCTCAGGAGACATTCACGGGGGGCAACGAAGAGGAGTTGAAGTTGAGGAATAGCTCGACGTTGGATGATCTGGGGTTGAGCCAATGGCAAGCCGAACTCTAAGATGCAAATTCCTATATGGGAATAGTGGTTATTAAGTGGGGACTGCCGCTCTTGTATAAGATACCTGTAACTTGTATAAACTTGTACATAGGTACTTGTAGACAGCTATTAGTATACGGAGCATCAGTAGGTATTGGGTAATTCTAGAATAACTGTAGCATAGCATCGGATGTCATAATGCAAATTAGATGTAGTGGTGCTATTCACCAACAATCAAGGATAGCACTGCTGTGCAAACTGCTGGTATGAGTGCGCCAAGGCACAAATGCCGGTGCAGGGCCAGGGTGGGCCAAGCATATGTAGGTACGTACCTAATGGCCCCTCAACCCCAGCATTTTATAGTGAAGGGTGCCTTGTGAGGAGCCTGGAGCAGCGTGATACTATGTGCATTATTCTACAGGCAGGTATTGCTCCTACAAGTATAGCTATCATCCTGGCCTTTCATCACAGGACCCGCAGCTTTCTCGAGGACTCGACTTTTACACTACCTAGTATTATTGCTTATGCAATGTGAGTAAAATGGATCATGCAGATACTGGGTACAACACACTAAGAATGATATGATGACAGGTGCAGGTTTGGTATCGATAGCGCTTCATCGATCAACGACGCTTCCATGTATGGAGTGCGCGTATACGATAGCAATTCCAAGGGGGGGAAAAATTGCGACGAGTTTATATCGATTTGCCATCAACATCCACCCAACATCAGCCACCACTAGAGAATCCCTTTCATTGACAAAATCAAAATACTTGAAGCGAAATCCATCCATGACTCAGGGCTTTGACAAAAGCCACTCTCTTCGACGTCAGCTCTCCTCCCGCGCCACAAACTGCTATCCATAACCAGCATAGCCGCGCATCCAAAGCGCTCCTCAGCAGCCTCTCAGCCTTCAGGATCCCGTTCCTTCGCCTTGCCCGGCAACAAGAGCCGGAAACCAAAGCGAAAACGAAACCAGTTGGGCTAGGCGGCATGAGCCGACATTTCCCCGTGAGGCATCCGTGGCGCAGCCGCTAGAGCTACGCAAGTGCCGTTGCCAGGGCCCCAACACATACACGGATCTGCGTGGTGCAACAAGACGCTGTATTTATACTGTCTGTATCACGACGCTTTAATGACGTGATATAATCGCAAAACACTCTCGCGACAATAGAATCAGCGTAACCACGACATAAAAAACCCATTGAAGTGTGAAAAATCCGTCTTTTCTCCATACTAAGCTGACTGATCCATCGCCAGCCATGGAGAAAAGCAGTGGGAGCGGCTCGAGTCACAAACAGGCCAGCACGAGCGATGCCACAGGCAGTGCATTCGCACCAGATCTACCGCAAGAAGTGATTCCCTTTGAGGCATCAGATCCACCAGCATACCAAGAGTCACACTTGGAGCCGTCGGCTTCGGCTTCAACTCCGGCTCCAGCTTCAGCTTCGGCATCGCATTCGCTGTCAGTATCAGCATCGGCGTCGACGCTGCAGGCACCGGCAGCAGGTTCAGCCCTCGTCCCAACCATCACTTCGCCCTTCAATTTCCCCAAATACAGCAAAGATGGCTCCGCGGCGGACGCCAGCCCTCCCGTGTACGACAACATTGGAGCATCCGGCAGCAGTTCAAAAGCTGCTCCACGGCCCATCGCCTTTCCTCAAGTCAGCCCGGATCCGGATGCAGCCTTCCTCCCAGCTTATGCCCCTGTCCTGCTCAGCTATGGCATCACCGAGCAGACTTGGCGCTCGTTTCTGGCCACCATCTCTGCCTTCTTGACGGCCAAAGTATCAGACCGTGCTCTGTCACATGCCACCGATGTCGCTGCGCACATTGGCGAAAACCCCAAGAATCTGGGCAAAAATGTCATCGCCCAAGCCAAGTCCATAGGCAAGAATGTTACGCGGGACGCCAAACGGGGAAACATTATCGGTGCTGCCATGGGCCTCATCGGAGGCTCCATCTCGCTGCCCATATCGACAGCCATGGGCATCGTCGGCACCACTCTGTCGCTCCCCGGGTCGGCCATGAGCGCCGTGACTAGGAAGCCGAGGACCCCCCAAGAGAGAGCGGCTACATACGCGGCCGTTGCCAACGAGGAGTGGCTTCATATGCGCGGCTTGCATGCTCATCTATTTGATTCCGCGGGCTTGGCCCATCTTTTGGGCCAGCCATTGGACAGTTTATTAAGCATGGCGTGGGAGACAAAGGCGATCGAGGCTACGAGACAGATGAGAGCTCTGGAGCCGCTTATTGCTGGGCTTGAGATTGAGGAGGGGGCGCCTTTGCAGTTGAAGACGCAGACGCTGTGGCTGGTGCTAATACCCGGGCAACCGTCCTCTTCGAGCGAAGCGAACGTAAAGAAATGATGGCGTTAAGAGTTTTGAAAAGAGAAGAAAGGGATATATATATACCAATTGTTTGTGTTGTTATCGTAATTAAGCTTGGGTATTGTTTCGTGTTAGTAACACAAGGGTTATTCATATTATACACGACATGAGAGATAATATGACTTTTTAGAACTTGCAAAGTGCAATACGCGTATAAGCATTTCCAGATAGAATAAACGCAATAATCTATCTATTATATATGACAATCTGATGTTTTTAAATCGCATGTCCACATATAGGCATGTGCATAAGCAGAGGCTACCCTAAAGCTCCCGCGCAAACCGTCGCGCTATACCTAAGCAGCGCTCTGCCCTGGCGGCAGCAACTAGGGAAGTCTATCGGAGTCTTATCTTACTTGCCTATCTCAAGTAAACTTCTCCAAAATTGCCACCGAAATAATGTGGCTTAACCGGGGTGAAGAGCAGCACAACAGCCCAGCGATTGCGCGATAAATCAAGACCCCTCTTCAGACCTGCTGAAAAACTCGCCAAATAAAGTTTAATCGTCAGCCGTGTGTAATGTCGGCAATTGTGGGTCAAGGCGAAGAACAGGATGAAAACAGAGCAAAATAGAGTAGAACCTCTATTTCTCAATGACGAGATTCGTCTCTTTAACGCTGTGGAGTCTTCGTAATATGAGCTGCCGATAGTCCTTGACAGAACTGGCGGTTGTCGTACGTTACTCAAACGGATGACAGATAAGGCGTGACAAAACTAAGCTCTCTCACAGTTCTCATATCCCATGTCACCTGCTATGATTGCGAGCTATTTTTTTTTTTCTAAGCTAGGATTAGGATTTAGTAGCTAACCAACACTCTTCACTCGCAGTCCAAGCTTTCATACAATTTTTTTTCCCGTTTATTCCTCTTCTCATTTTTTTTATCTGTCATAAAGAAAAAGGCACATAAATATACTCAACGCAGTTTCACACAAAATGATAGAAGAGGCACCCTCTCCTGTCCTACAGGACGCATCAACCGATTCTAAATCGCACGACGTCGAAGATATTGTCGAAGAGACGGCAGACACAAGAGTATTGGTAAGATGGCAGATGAAAAAATTTCAAACGATTCGCTTAATACATCTTGGCTTACACTGCAATGATAGACAAAACTCGGATACAAGCCTGTACGTTGAGGGAATATTTGCTCTCTCTGGGAAGAATCGATTCTAACGGGCTCTTGTAGGTGCTTCATAGAACCTTCAACTTGTTTCACAACTTTTCGACGACATTTGGTGAGTAGCGTCACTCATTACGCACTAGCAAGCACTCGACGAGATGGAAATACTAACAGAAATGTAACAACACAGCCGCTCTTTACTTCATCGGCGGTGTTCGAGTTACCTTTTCAACCGGCATTGCTGCTGGCGGTAATCTCGCCTACTGGTGAGGCTCCATCTCTCACTCATCACGATGAGTTGGTTGCCTTTGCTTGCTTGCTCACAACATTGTAGGACAAGCTTCATAGTCACTTGCGTCTTCACGTTCATCAGCGCTGCTGTCATTGCCGAAATCTGCTCATCGCTGCCGCTTGCTGGATCAATCTATCTCTGGGCGGCTGAGGCAGGCGGGCCGAAATACGGCAGACTCTTTGGCTATATCGTGGCGTGGTGGAGCACGACTGCCTGGACGACATTCTGTGCGAGTATGTTTGCTCTTAATCTTGGGCGAGCGAAAGACGCGCGAATTCGAGCAGACTGACCTAACTTCTCAAAACCTACAGGTAACACACAGGGTGCTGTTAACTACATGCTGTCTGTACGTCTTTAAACGAGCTTAAAGTCTCTTATTTCAACCAAAGATGTCATGACCAGACTGACAAACTTGGGATAGGAAACGGTCGTTTTCAACCTAGACTTCCCCTCGGATCCTTCAGACGTTAAATTCCGTGCCGTGCAATGGATCTGCACCGAAGTCTTACTCGGCTTAGCAGCGTTATGGAACCTTCTTCCTCGTATGTTGTTGTTGCATCCCATTCCCCACCTTCTTCCTCTGTATGATCCCCCATTCCTCAACTAAACAACATTCAACAGCAAAATACTTTAAATGGATCTTCTATCTCTCAACCGGTTCTGTCCTCCTCGACTTCGTCCTCAACATGATTTGGCTCCCCATCGGCACAAGCCAGACCATCGGCTTCCGCTCTGCCCATGATGCCTTCATGACTACGTACAATGGCACCGGCGCCTCTCCCGGCTGGAATTGGTGCCTCTCTTATCTTGCAACGGCCGGTATCCTCATCGGGTTCGATGCGTCGGGCCACGTCGCCGAAGAGACACGCAACGCCGGCGTAACTGCGGCTCGAGGCATCTTCTGGAGTACCGTGGTCAGCGGGATTGGAGGTTTTGTCGTCGTTATCCTCTTCCTCTTCTGCACTGTAAGTCGACATGCCTTGTCGTCACATGGTGAAACAATCTAACCCATCTCTACGACAGCCTGACCCAGACACTCTCTTCTCCTACGGCAGCGTTCAGCCATTTGTGCCTCTATATGCCGTCCTCCTAGGCCAGGGTGGTCACATTGTGATGAACGTAGTTTGCATCGTCGCCTTATGGTTTGTATGTTTTAACCCTTTACTTTGCTATATCCAAAATTCCTCATCCACGCGGCTTACGCTTGCCTAGAACACTGCCATCGCTATCCTGGCCGCCTCACGTCTCGTCTTCGCCGTAGCTCGAGATGGTGTCCTGCCCTGGTCATCCTGGGTGTCCCAAGTCGTCGACGGCCAGCCCCGCAACGCCGTAATTGTCGTCTGGGTCGTCTCTTCCATCATTACTTGCACCATCCTCCCCTCCTCTGTGGCCTTCACATCGCTTGTATCAGCCGCCGGTGTGCCCTCTGCTGCAGCCTACGGACTTATCTGCCTTGGCCGACTCTTCTTTACGCCCAAGACGTTTCCCAAGCCAGCCTGGAGCCTGGGTCGTTGGAGCAAGCCTTTTCAGGCAATCTCTGTCCTGTGGAACGGGTGGGTAGTCGCGGTGCTCTACTCGCCATATGAGTTCCCCGTCACGGGTTCTACGTTTAACTATGCGCCGGTTATTATGGGGGCCGTGACAATCTTTGCGTTGCTTTCCTGGTGGTTGATTCCAGAAGACAGGTGGCTGCCGAGCCAGCGGATAAAAGAGCAGCTCTTGGCAGGAGAGTCTGCGGATGAAGAGTGATTTCAATTGGGTAGTAGCAGAGGTAGTTGGAGTGCTGGCCTGGTGCACGTCTTATATATAATATAATACAACTCGTTAGTAAACGGCAAATATCTACGCCATGGATTTCTAAAGTAGACAAAACAAAATATACCACCAGATGTCTAAATAAATCGATATAAATTGGTTTGAGAAATGTGATTGTCTGTTCACAATCTTCGAGGATATGGCACAAAACCTTTGCAATAATAGACGTCATATTTCATAACTATCACTATCACTAACAACTTTTTTTTCGTCATCATGGATATCTCAACTACCACCGATATCAATGCCATATCATGCCATGCTATGCAAATCATATCTATTCCATGCCGAGTCCCGGCCCAAAACGCCAAACGTCCCTTTGCTCGTCTCCCAAAATTTTAAAAGACACCAAAGAGAAAAAAACGAAGAGAAAAAGAAGAAGGTATCAAAGAAAAAAAAAAGAAAAACCCCAAATGAAAGGTCGAGACAAGCAGCTTAAGCCCACCAGTCACCCTGGTCGCGCATGGCCTCAGCAACCTTGACGAAGCCGGCAATGTTGCTGCCGGCAACCAAGCTGGGGAGCTCGCCCTCCTTGGAAGAGACATACTTCTGGGCAGTCTCGAGACCGGCCAGGAAAGCGCTCTTCATGATGCACTTGAGCTTGTCGTCGACCTCCTTCTCGGTCCAGGTGAGGCGCTGGCTGTTCTGGGCCATCTCGAGACCAGACACGGCGACACCACCGCAGTTGGCGGCCTTTCCGGGGGCGTACCAGACGGACTTTTGGCCCTTCTCCTTGCGCTGGGCCTCGAACAGATCGATGGCCTCCTGGGTGCAGCCCATGTTGGAGCCCTCGGCGACGACCAGGACGCCGTTGGCGACGAGAGCCTCAGCCTCGGCCTTGTTGATCTCGTTCTGGGTCGCGGACGGGAGGGCGACGTCGACCTTGCCCACGTGGACCCAAGGCCTGGCGCCGTGGTAGTACTTGAACTTGTCGGCGTAGTTGAAGTCGGTCAAGGGCCGTCGCTGGGCCTTGAGGTCGGCAATGGCGTTGATGTGCTCCGGCTGGAAGGCGCCGTCCTCGGGCGCGACGAGCGAGCCCTTGGAGTCGGACAGCGACACGACGGTGGCGCCGAGCTCGATGCACTTGAGGGCGGCGTACTGGGCGACGTTGCCGGAGCCGGAGATGGCAACGCGCTTGCCGGCGAGGGAGCCCTGGCCGGCGTGCTGGAGCATGTGCTCGACGTAGTAGACGAGGCCGTAGCCCGTGGCCTCGGGGCGGATCAGACTGCCGGCCCAGCTCAGACCCTTGCCGGTCAGGACGCCCTCGAACCGGTTCCTCGCCTGGCGGTACGCGCCGAACATGTAGCCAATCTCGCGGCCGGACACGCCAATGTCGCCGGCGGGGACGTCGGTGTCGGCGCCGATGTGGCGGGACAGCTCGCGCATAAAGGACTGGCAGAAGCGGCGGATCTCGTTGTCGGACTTGCCCTTGGGGTCGAAGTCTGAACCTCCCTTACCACCACCCATGCTGACTATATAGATGATGAATGATTAGCTTCAGAGCAGGTATCAAATAGGTGGGCATTTCTTACGGCCAGTCAGGGCATTCTTAAAGATTTGTTCAAAACCGAGAAACTTGAGACTACAGACTTTTTGTCAGCTTTCTTGGCTCATTTCTATTAGACGGTGAAACTGCAAGAGGCTCTTACATGGACAAGTTGACGGTGGGATGGAATCGAAGTCCACCCTTATACGGGCCCAGGGCAGAGTTGAACTGGACTCGGTATCCTCGGTTGACGCGCAGCTGGCCCTTGTCATCCTCCCAGGTGACACGGAACTGCAGGACACGCTCGGGGATGGAGGCGACCTCGAGGGCGGTACGGTATTCGGGGTGCTCCTGGAAGAGGGTGCTGTCCTCGAGGGTGCTGGCCAGCTCTGTTGGTATTTGGGTTAGTACATATAGGCAAGATATATATATATATATATATAATGGCTGGATGATATAGGGACTAACCCTTGTAGGCCTGCTCGAATTCGGGCTCGGAAGGAAGGTTAGACATTATGAATGGTGTCTTGCTGAGCCTCGTTGTCGTCTGAAGTGATGTATGGTATCTGGTTATATACGTTGTTTGCTTGGTCCTTCAAAGTCTCTTGAAGCGACAGCTAGATGAATCAAGTCACGACAGTTGGATATGGGAAGAGATGAAGAGAAGAAAGAGAAGGAGGGAGAAGAGGAAAACCCGTCTGTGGCGGGAAGGACGTTGCTCTATATAGTTGTTTGCTTATGGATATTGCCCATCACCAAGCCCAAGCTAAACTTTCCACTCTCGGCGAAACTCAGCAACAAAGAGAAAGATTTAAAAAAAAAAAAACACCACCGGGAGGGTCGTTCATCCCACACACGCCCCTCCCCATGGGACGTTACGTTCTAACAGATCTAAGCCATGGCTTGATACTTCACCACTACTGTAAGCTTTCTCTCTCTCTCTCTCTCTCTTTTTGCTCCGAAAGTCGCTCACGGGGGGGTGTGCCTGCTTAGATGAGCCTGAAACAGGGTTGGAGTGGTGGCATCAACACCACCCAAAAACAGTTATAGCCAGAATGCGAGAGATCTGGGAAAAGAAAAAAACTAATGCGCCTCGCCGTAATCGCTCACCGGTGCTGGCAGAAGACGCCCCACGCGCGATATTGGGAAGGATGTAATTCAAGGCTGAACGCTGCGTCTCACAGAAACACACACACACACACACACAAGGACCGATTGCCGCACAATATGGTTTGAAATCAGCCAACACACTGGGGGAAGAGGAGGAGTGTGTGTATACATAAAAATATGTACTACTGCTAGTAGCGTGGCGGCTCGATATCTTGCTATCTATCTACCAAGCCATGATCTCATCAAGTAAACCATATCGATAATTAAAAGAGCAACAATACAAAAAAAGCCGATCCACCAAATAAAGACACACGCAAAAAAAAAAAAACGCCGACTTCAACAACCGATATCTGCGGCTTGACTAGCGCCCATTTTATCAATGTCCCTATCCGAGCGACCCCGTCCGCCGTGATTGGCCAGTTGCGCCGTGACGGTTTGAAGATACAATTGCGTTCGCCCATGGCCATTGTCCAATCGCAGCGCGGCTGGCTGCCGGGGCGCCGTAACCGGCACGCGACGCTGTTTCCACCAGCATCGGAGGCTTAAGATATAGATAGTCTATCTGTGTAATGCATTTATTTTATTTTTTGGCATGACATGTGTAATTGGAGATGCAAATCAGCCAGTGATGCGAGTCTGCGCCATTGAGAGGACGCTTACCTTGGTGGTCTACGTGGCAGGCCATAGGCAACCCAAATCCTTATCTCGACCTTGGGAGGTGACGCCACCGTATGCATTTCAGATTGCACATCAGCATATGCCGTCGTACATACAGTGCTGCTACTAGCAATAGTAGTACTCGTATCAGAGTTTAAAACGCTTTTTCTTCAATTTCACTTTACTTCAATTTAATTTAATTAATTAATTATTATTATTATTATTACTATGATTTTTTCACAGCGTCTCTTCTCTAGTGCGAATCGTAACACAAACATGTGCTCGGCACCATCGCATTGAAAAGGCTTCAATAGGCAAATTCCCAAATAGGCCCGATATAGCGTCTCTAGTATATGGATGCATTCTACGTATATTGCGCATCTATACAACTTCCCCTTTCTCCGAATTCTCCCGTCATCCCGCAGTACGAATCGCCCTTACCCATCGATGCCGAAACCATACACCAGCGATATCTATCAACCGACAATATAATAGGCCAGACAAGATCCAGGACCCTTCAAGGCGGCAAAGTGCGGTATCGGAGTGGCACGGGAAACCGCCACGCCAAGATTATTTGCTGGCCTGACAAACGCGCGGGAGGCGAGCAACAATAATCTGAGACTAGCATATGAAATGCGCATAATAGTATTAGCGGCAGTCGGTTTGGGCCTCGGAATAAGCCAGGCGCTGCATTCCATCAGCGCCGAACGTATATACGCACCTCTCGGCGATGCCATGCAAGAATTCAACATCTCGTCTAATAATTGCTGGACGTAATATGATCCTGAAATGCTCTTCCTTCTTTATCCTCAATGATACGCTATTCCGACTAAATAAATGAATAAAATCAAAAGCTGTGATATACATGATCCCATACACCATGGAGTGTGCCATCATCATAGCACGACCGCCTCCTCTTCCGCGTCCTTTGGCATCGAATTATTCCACTCATATTACATCATACACATCCAATGATGAATACAACAGCAAATTGATGTTAGCTCTCCTCGCTTAACAAGGAGATAAAAGTAGATCAACAAGGGAAAAGAAAGGGTTGCGTGCATCATTATACATCTCTCCACTCACTCACTCGCCTTTTGCACCCCCCTCTCTCACCAAATAGCTGCTTGATCTGCATCAAATCTGGAAAGCTCCTTGCCTGCGTCCTCCAAATCCTTCTTAGCCTTCATCCGCATGTAGAAAATGGGGCAGTCCTTGCTACTGCAAATAACTTCGCAGTGCATGCTGCCTTGGCATCTCTGGCATTGCGTCCACAGCCGTCCAAACCGCACCTCCAGGTCTGATACCCGATCCAACGTCTTGTTGTACAGCTCTCCTACACGGGGCGCGCAGTCGCTACACACTGCGCCTGCACTCTCGTGCTGGCCTGTGAGTGGCTTCTTGCACCCCATGCACGTCTGCGTCTTCTTGGCAAACTTCATGAGTCCTCCCACCGTGGGGGCCGCAACGGAGATGATGCGCGTGTGGTCTCCATTCAGCAGAGACCTGGCCTTTGTCTCACCAAGAATGGGCTCAAAAATACGGCCAAGCGGCTTCGCCAACTGGTTGTCCAAATAGTATTTAGTGTCGATCGGCACGTTGTTCTCCAGGACGTAGATTGGATCCTCTGACTTTTCAAAGTTTTTGGCTCCCGCCGCACCCCTCACCATGACATACGCCACTCGATCGCCAAGACCAGGAGCCGAGCCGGCGTCACGCTTCTTCATCCTTTGCGCAAGCTCGACGTGGGCCTGCTTGGCTGCATAATCCTCTTTGGTGAGGGCCTTTGTGATGACCAGTTTCGACATGTCAACCTTATTCTGCAGCAGATCTGCAATCGTATTTTTGACGTAGCTTTTTTTTTTTTTTTTAAAGATGTTAGTGATTCTGAACAACACAACACAACCCAAATAACATTCCACTTACTCTTGTGCACCTTGAACGTCTCGGTCAATAAGAATCATTCTCAGGACTTTTTCGATAACGGTCTGCGCTAGCAAGCAGTTATCGCGTCGCACCGTTTCCAGACCCTTGGTGTCCATCTTGTCGTATTTTTCCGTCCTTGTCCAGTACAGCCCGGCATATCGCTTCTTGTTGATGAGAAGATACGGGAAATAGACCTTTTCGAATTCCAGCTTGATTGGCTTCGGGAACTTCTCTGATACATATTTGGAGGCTTCTTCGCCAAGTTTCATCGCCTCTGCGAGATCCTTGGTTCCAAATTTAACCATGACGGAATCGGTATCACCGTAGATGACCTGGGCATCGTGGGCATAGCCGTTTGCGATATTGTACCTCTCCTCCACCTCTCGTTTCGTCTTCTCAATCATCTGACGGCCGAAACTAGTTGTGCTACTTGCGATTGCGAGACACGGCAGCTTTCCTGTTGTTGCACCCGTCAAGCCGTAAACACTGTTGGCGCTGACTTTCAGCGCCAGCTGTCTACCGTTCAGCACAGCTTTCTTGAAGGGATCTGTCTCTTGGGCAAGCTCTCGCTTGGCTTGCTTTCTGGCGGCAAGCAATTCTTCAAGAATTTGAGCGAGTAAACCCTTGCGCTTTGAGGCCGTCACGAACTGATCTTTATTAGGGGTGATGATATAATCCACATCTTTTACGAGATTAAACCTCTCTGCATCTCCAGGTCTTAACAAAGTTGTGTAGCAAAGGTTGTGTGCCTGAATGATACTTGGATACAGAGAAGCAAAATCCAGCGTAGCAATAGGTACATCGTAGTATCCTCTTGTCGGCTCAATAACTGTCGCGCCTTCATACTGAGCATCTGTCCCTTGAGGGGAGATATTAGGGATGACTAGCTTCTGTTCCAGTGCTTTTCGGAAAAGCTGGCTCACGAATTTGATCTGCTGTCCACGTGAAAGCAAGAAGTTGAATGGGACACCCGTGACTCTGGCCATCTCTGTATAATTTTCCATACAAGACAGCTTATCCATCAGTCTCTGCGGAAGATAGGCGTCCTTCAAACAGTAGAGCGCTAGACGACGTCTCGACTCGGGTGTTCCGTTGAACAGTTCTGTAATCATGGTGTGATGCACATCTTCCTTTTGCTCGCCCAAGAACTGTGAGCACACAGAGTTGAGGGTGTAACTTCGCAGGTGGTGATCCCGCTGCACTAACTGCAGCATGTCGAGCTGTAATCTGCCATTGGTATTTGTGGTTTTGGTGTCTCGGCTACCGATCTGTTTGCTTGTGAAGTTGGTATCCTTCACCTTGGAGGGCTTGCTGGGAATGCGGGACCAGTATTCAAAGCCGTGTACTTTCAGGTGCTTTGCACGATCAAGAAGGTAAGGGAAATCAAAGTTGGAAATATTGTATCCAGTAATGACGTCTGGGTCAACCCGGACGAGGAACTGCTGCCACTCGTGGAGCATCTGCTCCTCTTTTTCATAATCCAGGATTTGCGTGGCCACAATGGGGCTGGTAGTATCCAAGCAAAAGACATTTCGGATAAAGGGCTTCTTCTCTCCGTATTTGGTCACGACGTTTGCAATTTGAATAACGGGATCCACGTTGGCTTCGGGGAAGATTCCTTTGCGTCCAGCACACTCAATATCGAAGGATAGGATACGCAGAGGAGCCATCTTGGCCCACTCTCCTTCTGGCTTGTGGGCAATAAGATCCGCATAATTGATTTCGGCTTCGATTTGGCAGTTGGATTGCCGGCTGTGTTCTGGGATTAAGCTGTAGCTACCAGCAGGGGCTTCCACCCATGACATGCCTTGAATCTAATTGAATGGTATGTTAGCCACAACACTCTTGGGGGTAGGTTAAATGGGCAGCAGAATAAATTCTTACCTTGCAATCTACCATGAATCGTAGCACATATTGAATATTATCATACGTCCGTAGACCACCTTCCAAAACTCCCCACATGCCTTTCCAATTCGCATGCCCCTTCTCTATTGTCGATCGCACCGAGTGTATAAACTTGGGGTCCGTTACTGTGATTTTGAGATAGGGACTCTGTACGTTGCCCTGGTAGTGATATATGTCTTCTCTCATGGCCAAGCTGACCGAATGGATCGCAGGCTGGTGTTGCGCGACCTGCGTCTCAAGGTATGCCTTGAATAGAGCGCAGTCCTTTGGCTGAAAGGACAATGGCGCAGCCACGTAAAGATAGTGCTTGAAGTCGGTG